AGATCGAACACTCACATAAGTCAGGTCTAACAACGACAATGGCGCCTTGTTCCGCATCGATACCATATTTCGAAAAGGCTTGTCCGCAGCCCAGCATGTATGGGTTTGTATCGTCGACAAAAACCCGGTGAACATCTGTCGGAGGTCTTGTCAGTATATCATCACTTGGCAACGTGGGATGGCTCTCTTACTTCTCAGATTATATGGACCTGTGTGAGGGAAGAAGACTTCCGGTAGTTGATCGATCTCAATGGTCTTTCGCTCCGCCTTGATGAGAAGGGTATGGCTGAACACTTTATCCACAGGATCTCCAGCAGGGGTGAACATCTTGATGAGATTACCAAGTTCTCTGGCGACCTGAAGAATCGTTAGTTGCCGAAGGTACTGTATGATGGGAGACTTACCTCATGCAGTCCTTTTCTAGCGAAATCTCCGGAACAAAAGGTCAAAACATGCCACCTCCCATCTGCAGCAAGGTTCTTGTTCAGCTGCATAGGCTTTGTGTCAGACAGTCTAACAACAGGTGCGCTTGGGAACCTCATCCCGACTGTCAATCCCGATGCAATGCTATTATCGCTTTCTTCCAGGGATGTCACAATGGAAGGCTTGTACCTGGTAGCCATGCCAGCTGTATATCGTCCTGCCTCCACAAACTTGTCGCGAAAATGTTTTGCCGTGATCCCGTTCGCTTTACGATATTCAGACGAGAACAATTTGCTGAACGACCGATCAAACTCAATGAGTTGCTGAGCGGTTTGTTGTCTCTCAAAAACATAGGTCTCCAGCACTGAAGGCGGTGCTCGGCCGGTGAGAACATGGGCCATCTTCCATCCGATGTTGAAGCCATCCTGGAGACTGACATTCATACCCTGCCCAGCCTTGGGCGAGTGAGTATGACAAGCATCACCGGTTAAAAAAATACGATGGTCCTTCGTAAAGTGATCCGCGAGACGTTGGCCAATGACATAAGCAGACCACCAAACCGTTCGTGCGATATCGATGTCGTAAGGGTGAAAGATTCGCTTGACCTTGTTGATGAGGTCCTGCTCAGTGACGTCACGGGCCGAGGTTCCGGAGAGCTCGATGTAGAATCGCACAAGTTCGTCGCCTTCTCTCGGGATGATCATGAGATTTCCGTCACTTTTGCTCTGAAGCATGGCCTTTTTGCGGATGTCGGGGAAATTGGTGACGGGGTAGACGTCCATGACACCCCAGACGGAGTCGCTTGAGTCGCCGACCATTTTGAAGCCAAGAGATTTGCGGACAGTGCTGTGAGCGCCGTCGCAGCCCTAATTGTTGCCCGTTAGAAGAAAAACGAGAAATATGAGGATAGAACCCACAATGGCGTATTTTGCGCGGTACCGGTAAGGTTCTCCATTCCGCATGGTGACAACCTCAACAGGGTACTCCTCATCATCAACAATCCTCACACTTTCAACCTGAGAATTATACAAAACCCCACTTGTCCCATTCCCCCTCAACCTAATAATCTCCTGTAACATCAAATCATTCATCCTTGCCTGGTTAAGAATGACATGCGGTTGGTGACTCAACCCCTCTTCCGTATCATAAGCAAGATCTTTTCGCACAAGTCCTTCATTATCATCAGGCGACCAAAAGGCTACCTCCATGACATGATACGCTTCTTCCAAAAGACGTTCAGAAATACCCAAATTCTCAAAGATTTCAACAGTGCGACATTGCACACCGTCTGCTTGGCCGATCTCGAGAGGGCCTGGGCGACGTTCGAGGATCTTGAAGTCGATGTTGAAGCGGGCGAGCCAGATTGCTGCTGTGAGGCCGGCGGAACCGCCGCCGCAGATGATGACTTGGACTTTTTCGGACTCCATTGTTGATTAACGATTTTTGATATTATTCCATGGTCTCAGTCTTCATTATATCCTCATGGCGTATACTGGCATGTTGGTGAACGGTAGTTGGTGCAGGTTCAAGAGAGTGGGGCTTCCGTTGAATTTCCACGGCAGATCTTATCGGCAACCGCGTTCCACGGAACCAACGGAGGAGGGAAATAAGCTCGGATCTTAGCTACGGGAGCTGCCCACATTCTTGCTAGGTGGGTATGGGGTAACCAAACTGTGTAAAAATTTGGTAGTGATCCTCCATCTAATCAACTGCAATTTTGACACCCATAGTGAGACCACCAACCGATATTTGGAACCCCAACGACTCGGGCATTTCTTTTTTGGTGACTATTGCCTGAGCTTCAATTTAGGTAACAAGTGGCCATCGTGTTGCAAACAAAGAAGTTGCATTCGATGATTTCCGGCCAGATGGTCCATACTGCTTGATGTTGCGAAGCTCAGGTCGTCCTTGCAGAGATTATTCCCCGTGAAGTGAAACTTGTCAAGCCTAGCAGCATCATGCCCGACGCCCATGCCGTCAAAGACAGTGTAGGGAGTTGTCTAACGTCTTTTTGTACCAAGACTACGCCCTCTAAGTTAGATAAGTCTCCTCCCTCCTCCCCCGGACATGAGAAAAGATAATGGCCCAGTGAGCGTTGTAGTCTGCACAGCCGTAGAGTTGGAGAATCGCGACGCCTTGAAGAGGCTGAAGGTGCTTATATGTCTCTCCTTCGCAATCTAATCATTCCGCCCAGTGACCAAGTCGGAAGTTCTTGATAGAAGTTAGTGGTTGAGCCATGGAAGAGAACTTGACAAAAGAGAGGACGTACAACAGTCAGATTCGGAGCCGGCCCAGAATAGAAGGGTATTGGCAGAGATAGGAGACGGCATGTTCATAACTGTGCTGCAAGCTGAGGCTTGGTTGACCATTCTGAGGTTGCGCAGGGAACAGTGGGACATTGACATCAACTAGTTGCCTTTTCCGGGGTAACACGAATCGGCGTGTTCTGTATTGTTCAATAGCGTGTCTGGGACCACGAAGGAACAAGTAATTAGCAGGACAAATCAGGTTCATGCCTCGACTGAACTTCACATGCTGTCCACTGCCAGGTCAGGTAGTTGAAGACAGCCAGTGGTCATGGAGAAATGGAGAAAGTCTTCTCTAGTATGTAGTTCCTGGTTAGCATAGGCTCTCTCAGGAGCTACGTGGGTACGTATCTCCTGTTTCCCCTTCGCTGCGAAGTCACACCCAATCTAAGTTCCAAGTAACTCTACCCGAAAGCTACGCCCATGAGTACGGATACCCCCAAGCTTCCTGTTTCAGTGGCGCTGTGGTGCTTCTTTGCAACGCCGAGCTGCTCCATTGGAAGTTTATTTCCCCGAGGACCGCCCCATAGACCACTGGGCCTTGCCCGTCGCTTTGGTAACCACTGCTATAAGCGTATTATGACATTGCCATCGCCACTTGTGAACTTCATCTCATGTGGAGTCTTCTTGCGGTATTGACTGCTGCCACTATACACCAGGAGTGTTCCTTGCGCAACTGCGATTGCGATTACCACTGGGCCCAGATCACTGCCATTGACGAGCTCAAATATCGACTGCAAATTCCTGTGACCTGTAGGATGGATCGAAATTAGTGGGTCATTGGCTCTCGGTGTGATTCTCGCGTTCAGGGCATACGTTGCAAGTTATAGGCATAATGAGGACGAGTGGGGCGACCATCCATTGGACCTTACACTGCGCCCAGGCAGCTATTGAACACATCTCTAAGGTGACTGATGGGTAACTCGACGCTGACAGTGCCATGTAAGGAAACTTCAAGTTTCAAGCAGAATCTAAGCAAAGGCGGGATGTCAGTGACCTTGGTACGAGTATTCTCGGTGAGCTGAGTATTTGGAAGATGGTGAGATGCAGTGAATTTGGAGAACGAAGGCTTCCTGGAGTGAGTTACAGTCAGAAGCAGCAGCTGAGATTAGTTTGGGCACTCTGGGGCTAACTATTCAGTACCTTCTTCTTATTGATCAGCTTGACCAATACTGATTGTTATGACTGTTCGACGGCTAAAACTCTCCTTTGTGGCATGAACAACTGGATTAGGGCATCAACGCGAGGGACAGTGCAACTGAATGTCATACTGAGCACCAATAGAGCAATGGGCATGTTCTGGCGCGGGAGCAATGTGCAGTATCTTGAACCCCCCCCCGGAAGCTCAGCCCTGTGCATTAAGGCTGATGGTATTTCTTCGAACCACGAATCTTTCAGACACAATTGTTGACAGTCGACACATGTCATTTGTTTGAACTTGCTTCTTCAACTTATTGCAATGCTTAATTTGATCGTTATCGTGGAAGCCTCTGGTGGAAGCTTGTATCAAGGGAGGAAAAAAGCTATCGTGTACTCTTATTACTCGTGTTGGCTGCCTCAAACTTGATCTCGATGCTTATAACGGCTGAATGGCCTTCTACATGGCTGAATTATGTTCTGCATCGGCCGTGCCACTGGCAACAACGTTGCATGTAGTACATATGGTGACATGCTATCTGGCGCTGGTAGGTTACGTGAAGCAACCTTGTGTACTACGAGCTTCAACCACTGTCAGACAGATGGTGGAGCCACAGCAGCAGCGCACGCACAGTCCCGCTGTCCCTATAAATTTCGTGTTTCTCCATCCATACTCTTCCTCCATCCACACACTTCATCCATCAACACTCTTCCTTCATCAGAATCTCCGTCCATCGTGCAAACCTTCCCTCCTTGAGTTGCCGGCACGACGCGTCAATCTTACCAAACACGCCAAGCAACTCTGGACCGCTGCTGCTGTCTCGATGAGAAAGCATTTACTCAGCGCCATTCCTTGCACTTGAGCCCCGAGGTAGGTTATATCAGATTTCTTATTGTCCTCTCTCACCTCCAAGGCTTTCCATCTCAACTGCTCTGCGATGCTCGCGTGTCATTTCCTTTCCTGCCTTACCCATCTTCTCACTTCCTATATTATTCAGCTTGAGTCAGCGCCCCATACTGAAGCATCTTCTCTTATCACTTCATGACCCACGACTGCAATACCGTGCAATATCAGCCCCCCATCCTGCTAACCGAGTCATTGGTAGCCTTCCAGAACCAAGAGAAAACGGAAACATGAGCAATAAGACCAGTAACGAGACCACTATGGTCGCTGAGAAGCCTCCTAAGGCGCCGGAGGAGAAGCCCAGTGAGAAGTCTGTCGAAGCGGACAACATGTCGGTTAAAGCCACCACGGGTCATGGAGTCAAAGGCCATGAGAAGGCTGCGCCCGAAGCGAAAGAGGTGCGCTATGCTTCCTACTACGGGGATGGCAGTGGCCTCCCACTTCGACCTGGTATGGGACCCCCAATGACTGAGGAGGAGTTTCAGGAGTCGTGGAAGAAGTCGAAGGCTAGAGCTGAAAGACTCTGAAGAATGACCGATGAAGAGTTTTATGCTCAGTTTCCAGAATACAGTGCGTTTGCCTCTCTTAATTATTTGAAGCAGTTTTATACTGACTGATCTTAGACGCTGTAAAGGATTGCTACTTCACCGAAGAAGAAGCCGAAGGGTTGCTGGAAGGGGAGGATAAAGATAAGCCCCGCTATGCTCATCTCTACGGTGATGGCAGCGGCCTTCCGCTTCGGCCCGGTATGGGGCCCCCTAGGACCGAGGAAGAGTTCGAGGAAGAGTATAAGAAGATCGAGGCCGAAGAGGACAAGACTTTTAACATGTCTGAGGAGGGGTTCAATGTCGAGTTTCCGGAATACAGCAAGTTCACTAGTTGACTTTCTTCAAACTAACATTATACTAACTGTTGATAGAGGATATGCCAGAGTACTTCTGCACCGAGCATGAAGCGTGGAAGATCATGGAGGGGTATGATGAAGATGAAGACCGCAATCATTCTGAGGAAAAGAAGTGATTCGTATGCGAAAAATCCATCAAAGCACAGCCTGAAAGCCAACGGTAGCTTGTAATAGTTCCAGGAGAGACAAACTGCGGGCTGATAAGGCAGAACCTGATTTCAATGACATGCACGCTGTACTGTCACTATGCAAGGGTTGCTGAACGGTCTGGAGAGAAAGACGTGGCGGAAAGAGTTGAGGTGGTCAGTCTATCTAGTATAAGATAGTCAAGTAAAGCTTTCTTCCCCATTCAATGCGTTTCCAAAACGTTGTTGCTACCTGAAAAAAGTAGAACCATATTGGACTTGCAAACTCTTACTTAGTATGGGTTTACTAACATCACTATTCATTCACTAAACAATTGTGTGTTTACTCAAGTTTGACGAAGAACTGCTTCAAAGTAACATCATACCAACTGCTGCCAGAGGATTGCTTCTTTATTGAGGGAAAGGAGGAGAGGATGTTAGAGGGAGGTAATGAGGGTGAGACCTGAACCAAAACCATAACAAGAAGTAATTAGGAGACGCTACTTAGCATAAATTGTGAATTAATTTAGCGAGACAAGAGGTAGCCTCTGGCAGACGGATACTGGACTTTCACTGAATAAGAGGAAGCATAAACTTGTTTTAATGAAATAAAGTCTAATCTCTGTCTTTTATTTATTATCCATTACCCAGGTACAAGGATACCTCATCCTTGATGAGCTAATTCAGCATCAGACTCTGTGGGGACCCTAACCCCTTTCCAGAACCGGATAGCCATACTGTTCCACCAGAGCGTCCCAGATCCGATGGTGAACACGGCCGCATTTATCATGTCTCCATTGTCTACGGGACCCAAATTTCCCAACAAATATACGCATCTGTTGGCGACAGTGGTTGTTGGTGGCCGCGGTTCCAACCTTGTCCTGATAATCAGGAAGGCACTCTCGCCATACAATTCGCCAGATCTTCTCCTTATCGTTATCTTCCCTGGTCTTCAAGTCCGCTGCCATGAAGAGATACCGTGAGAAAAGCCCACTATCCGCACCTTTATCGTCCCCTTCAAGGAACCATTTCATAAACCCTTTGCTGAACCGGTGGCCGGATTTATTCGTGAACCTAAGTGTGTTAGCAAGAAAACTGGCTTAAGGAAGAAAAAATGAATGTTGCCTAAGAAGAGTGACTAGTTTGGTAGTCTCGGCGACTTCTCTCAAGGTAGAAGCCAAGCCCTGTTCGAAAGTGATCGAATTCATCAGAGTGGTCTGAAAAGATATTAGAATATACCATATGACTCATTGTTGTACCAAGCTCATAAGCCTTTCGGGCTCATCACAAGAGACAGTAAACTTATACTAAACTTGTCTAAATTCGCAGTCTCTTATGATGAGTGCAGGCCTAAAGGCAAGTTAGAAGATCATCGGCAGTGCTTACCTGTGTTCCATTTGTCACTACTACCGAACCATCATACTGCCATACAAACTTTCTGCTTTTATAGGTCCACTCATCCCCCGGTGCCTTGATCACGGCACCATCACGACTGCTCGAGCCAATGATAATGTAAGTGCTCAGGCACCTACAGACTTTGTGGCCTCCCACATCATACATTAGAAAGTTGTAAACGCCGCGGTTTGCATAGTCCAAAGCAGTGGCTGTCCGAATGGCCAATACCGTGCAAGTACCGGTTGTTGACAGTTTGCCAACTTGATAATGTTCGACAATGTCCGTAAATTTAGAAGGGTCGGTCATTCCCAGTGTTTCCATGGGAGATACAACAAATTCCTAATCGCGCTTTCCAAGGTATGCCAGCATAAGATCGAACATCTTCGTTGTTGTAAAAGCGGTGTCACCGTGCGCATCGGTATACGCGCGGGTGGCAACTGGATCAATTACCAATTGATCTGACATTTCCGGCTAGTGTCTTTGAACCAAAGGGAAATAGTCGTAGTAAGAACAAGGTTTCGGGAGACCAAGACAACCTCAGAACAATATAGAAGAAAAGGAAATAATATCCACTTTGTAGTGAAGGATGACGGAGGAGGTGATGGGAGACGTTGGTGTCTGTAGACGCTTGACGTCTGCAGAAGGCTTAGTCAAAAACCACGGTGGAAAATGGAAAGGAAATCACCAAAGGAGATGCCTGACATCTGTAAAAGGCGGGGTTCTGAGGGTGACGAGAACGATCGATAACGATAAGGAAAGTGCTCGAGGTTTGGTGAAGAAGGGGTTGTCGAGGGAGATGCTTGGGGTCCGTACACAGTGGGGACCTCGGGGTTGATACTACAGATGATGAAAGGGAAGTGCTCGAGCGAGAGGGCAGAGATCACAAAGGAGGAGTCGAGCGAGATACCAGAGATGATAAAAGGGTGGTGTCGACTGAGATAATCCAAGGTAGTTGCGATGTGATGGAAAGGTTTAAGGAGACCTTGGGACCTCAATGAATTTATACCCACTCACTACGGCGTCTGCATCCTGCATGTAGGGCTCCATACAGTTGCGTCAACGGTCGCGTTTGCTCGGCACCCATGCTACAGTCACAGACCGGGAGCATATGATAGGCTCTACAAGTCTGTTGCGCTCATTCACCTCAGTCACGTCGTCACAGCGACCGCCCGGGCTGCAGTCACGTCCACCCGTGCCCGGGGCCCGCGGGTGAAACTCATTCCTGCAGTGGGACAGGAGGGCGAGGTGACTAAAGATGAGGAACTTCGGCGTATCGCACGCCCAAAACCTGTCTTTGCGGTCAGGAGGATGACCCGACCAAGCACCAGCAGATCTTGGCCCTAAGCCAGAAGAATGAGCTCGAGACTATGAATTAGGGAGGATGCAAAATGTTTAGTCAAGGAGTCTTCCAAGAATCACCCTAAACTATCCTAAGTTATAATAAACTTGTCTAAAGCCTTCGGTGCTTTAGGACCATTAAAACTGCTTACTCTTACTTGGCGGCCAAGACCATGCCCAGATCTTCCTCCACGTGATTGCTGAAATTCCCTAGCGTCCGACAAACCCACCGAACTAAAGCGGCATGGATGTGTTGTGTTGACGAGTAGCATTACATGGCAAGAGACATCTGTACCCTGGATAGGTTAGGGCAGATCGACATGTCTTGTCAAGCGAGACCCGTATCTATCTTGATGGTGGCCGATGTAACTTGACCACCCGAGATCAAGTCACTGTGTATCCTTGCGCAACATCATCGCTGCATCATGTTTCTTTATTTATCGGGTACGGTTAGACTTGGGCTCGTGTTCGAAAGGACTTGTCTCATGGTTACGGTGATAACCCCCTTGTGTCTGGCAACTCGGTGTAGGTTTGCGGGCTGGCGATAGCCTCGTCTTCGCGGGCTTCGATCGGAGGGAGGGAAATGCTCACTTCGTTGGTCGGTGCACGCGTCTCTTCTTGATTGTAATTTCGGTCGCCGTCGGAGTCGCGTTCAATATTTCGCTTCACGTTGATTATCCGCCTGCAAGACTGTTGACTGTAGTCCGACGACTGAGGCGTCGTCCACGAGCATATTTCGACTTCAAATGCAGAATTCGGTGGCAAGAGTGCTGCTCTTTGGTCTCCAATCTGGGATGTTCGTTATCGGCATGCACGTCATCGATATCTGCCCCGTAGCTGTTCCTGTGTCTCTTGGCCAATTGACTGTCATTTCTCACCTTTCATCCATCCGGTCTTCATCGCAGTGGCGGCGAGAAGGATCGCGTGTCTTTCAGTGCCATACTGCTCTTTATGTTGTGATGGAAATGTGAAAATAAAAAGATCTGGGTACATCAAAGATCAGGCTGTGACGACAAAGCGTGGGGAATCAACTGGACCTGATCCCTACCGCTACGTACCTCGTCTTACCCCGAGCTGAGCACTGTGACTGTGCTTTGAGATTAGCAATCAATATTCCTGAAATCTATTGGACAACGAGGGCCACTTGGTGGTACTGACCCAAGGGAAAACATTCCCTACGGTGATATATCAGCGTAACATTCTCCAAACATCAAACATTATCGCCATTCACCTGTAAGCCCATCTCCTCCCAACAACACCGACAGACCGCGACATCCCGATGATACCAACACGAGTCGATTACCTCTGCGCTTGAAAGCCTTTCCTTCACAGGATTCCCGACAAAGCAACACGACAACCATGCACCCCGTTGCCCCATCCTCGTCCCTCTCAGCCGAAGCTCGAAAGTGGTCTTGAACATTCAGCCTCGTTCACTGCCCCGTCACCCTCCACTTTGACTGCTGCATTCGATTTCGATTGACTATGTCTTCTTGGTACTCCTTTCTTCAGAATACTCGTCGTGGGCTCCGTGGCGAGACTTCTCCGTTGAATACTACAGTAGGAAGCATCGCCGACACTCTGCGTCAACGACGAGGCCCTGATCACAAAATCCCTCAGCACTTAGAAAAGGCTCTACATTGCGAAAGCTGCTGCTGTTTCCAAGAGCCCCTATTCTGTTGAGCTTCTGCTTTGTTTCTGAACTACTTCATTCTGATCAGGTCACTTGTCAACCCCTTTTCATCCCCCTTGTCTGCTGTTCAGTTCGCTTCGATGACTGCACCACTCCCCTTGTTTGCATTACGTGGCCCTGTCCTTTCTTGCCTGACTGCACCATCGTAGCGGCTACCTGCTGACCCAAGTGCCATACCATGGGCGCTTCTCAAGGCTATTTGTACTCGGACCCCTCCTTCGATCGAACGATTTCTCGCCTTTGATACTGTTTTCGTCCCCGTCCCGTTACCAAGAGTCGCAAAAGGCTTCAACTCGTACCGCCAGAAAGCCCAACCCTCATTGTTCCCAACTCAGCGCTCTTCGATATCATTACAAGGCTTTCTCGCATTTCAACCTCGCTTGTCATGATCGACCCTGATCGAGCTGACCTTCCCTTCGAAGCGGCGTCTTCCTTTGATGACCACTTCGTTCTTAATGGCGATTCCGCCGGTCGCGCTCAAGTCACTATGACGTTGTACCCGTCGACAGATACCCCAGAGCCGAAAGGGTACCTTGCAACATCTTGGCCAGAGCGATGGCATCCCCAACCGCGAGGGGCCTCTCTACATATACTCCAAGACTCACACAGTCTTTGCTCGTGTGTTGGGCTTCCGTTCCGTACTTGCTCCGAAGCCCAACGACGTCCAGGGCCAATGAAGTTTCTGGGACTCATTCTTTGAATTTGTTCCGATAACGATGAATGAGACAATTCGCGAGCGCCAAGCTTTCTTAACGTCTTCGAAGTTCGTGCAGTTCACTGAGTATTGCCCACTTCCGATGAACAATTCGCTAAAACCTTCACAGCCCGCGTTTGTGAAAACTCTGTGCCCTTGAGGGTCCGTTGAGTTTCGGCACGCCGCCATCGTGCCCTTTCCTTGTCAACGTAGCGCTGATTCAACGAATGCACCCAGAAGAACAGCTCCGCCTCTGTGGCTGCACTCGAAGGTGTTTACAGACCTTGAGCTCCCTGATACAACGGCCGTTGCCGACTCGTTACATTGTGGTGTCCAACGAGCTATGCCGGGAGGTCACAGCAAACGTTACAAGATGTTACTTAACGCATATCCGTGTGTAGCAGAGCGAGTAAACCCGTTTCAGCACTCCTGGACCACTGCCACTCGACTTACAACCGAAGATGACGAAGTCTTGACCGACCATGACGAAAGCTGAGTTACTCGACTCACAGTTCCTCTTTGTTGATGAGGTCTGTCCTTCTGCGATTACCAGAAATTGTGAATTTGCCGATACGGGAAAGCGGCAGAAAGTACAACGACCAAAGTCCCGCACCGAAAGGCCTACACGGGTCTTGGTCATACAGAGGGCATCGTCACTATGGTCATGCGGCAAGAATGTGGACACTCGGGCCGATCTTTTTGTGGCTCCCAGTCAAGTCAATGACATCGGGCCGTGTTTCGGACAACACTAAGAACGATCCCGAGCTGGAGAGTATTCTCCACATCCCGAACTCTACACAAGATATAAAGTATGGAATTCGATATTGTTTCATTTCACATGCTCTAGGAAATATCCTAGTCCCAAAGAAGAGCCACCCAACCAAACGCCATGTCTTCAAACTCCAGCCCTCCGAAACCGCTTCCCTCCATCCACCGCTTCATCACAACTCATGATTCGAGCGGCAAATCATGTTACTCCAAAGACCTCGACGAGCCATTGAACTTCTGGAAAGTTAGTGCAGGCGAAGGAAACTCTGCCGACTTTGAGCTTGGCTACGTCACCGAAGGACTACCCATACCACTCGCAAACGACAAAGATCTTTTAACATTCAAGGAGGCCTATGCAAACAAACAGAAGTCGGGGTTGGTGAAGCATGGCGGTACCATCTTGCGGTATTGTGATATTCCTCCAGGCTCAAAGTCGCAGATGCATCGCACCGTCAGTCTCGACTACGGCATTCTTATCAATGGCGAGCTGGAATGTTTGCTGGATTCAGGGGAGATCCGAACTATTCATCCGGGAGATGTTGTGATCCAGAGAGGTACCAATCACCAGTGGTTCAACAGGACTGAGGAGTGGGCTAGGATTGTTTTCATCTTGTTTCATGCAACGCCAGTCGAGATCAATGGCCGTGCGTTGGGAGAAGATCAAGGAGGGATGGAGTTGCCAGATTCGCATTAGATACCTGTCGACAACGTGCGAAGGATTCAAAGTTTGTATCTTCAAGTACCACCCATGCCCCGACTCATAGAAATGTATAGACAGCCATCTTAAGCGAGCATTGAGCCTATCTACTGTCAGGCTACATCAGTAAAAGACCTGTCCGCATCCCCGCGCATTACAGCAACCCCACTGACACGGCGGATGACCCTTGAAGTGCCTAACCCCATGAGTACACCGTGCTTCTGGCTTCATGATGTCGACCGCCAGTCCAGGCATAGGCGTAAGATGTAGCGCCGCTGTCTCACGAAGCGATAACCGACTTGGCCTATACGCTGCGACTCGTGGCGGTCGATATGGTTGTGGAACTGGCTGTTGAAAAGGCACTGGCCAAACTGGCGGTCCTGGTTGTTGCGGGAAATACCGAGGAGTATGCCAAGCCTGAGGCGGTGGTGTGTTTGGGACTCCTTGGTATATGTGGAACACATTTCCAGTGTAATGAGTATGGTGGCTTGGAGGACCTGGAGCTGCAAGTTGAGGTTCCGAAGCAACGGTTCGGACAGACTTCGTTGATGGCTGAGGTGAAGGCATAGATGGCGTTGGTGGAGGGAGAGGGGGCTTCTCGTCTGGCGGTATTACTGGTCTTGTGTCCTTTGGTATTGGGGTATACTCTGGTGGTGGAGTCCCGGGAGTACTGATCTGCAATGCGACTTAGCTAACATTGTCGAAGATAGGATCATGAAGAACACTCACTATCGAAGGGTTTATCACCCACTTCTCCCTTTCTGGGACAGCAGGTCTTGTGGGTAGACGAAGTGATGCTGTCGAAGAGGAAGCTGATGACGTGCTCGTAGTAATAGATCGGACCGAAGTAGACGTGCGGTTCGGTTGGGTTCTCAATCTTGTTCCCGTAGGAGTGACCAGCATCGGTTCCCGTCGTTGGCCTTGCCGTTGCCGTTCTGCGCGCTCTCGTCTCTCGGCTCGGCCCTCAATGGTAAAGTTTTCCGAGCCTGCGTTACTCATGAAAGATTCTCGGCGACTAATTGTTGGGGGTTCAAAGGACTGACGGACATTAGAGTCTATGCTTCAATTCTTGTATGAATGCATACCGGCTGTTGCCTGTTGAACGCCAAAAAGGCCTGCGCTTCCAAAGGTTTGAGCTTCAATATCAATCCAGCTTTGCTCAGACTGGCATAAACGAATGTCCATGACATGGTAAGTCGCGAATCTTGCTCTGTACTCCAGCTTGGTGTCCCCATTCGCTTGCATATACTCATACAATCGTTCAAGTGCGTATTGCAATCATTGATGGCGCAAATGAGCTCGTAAGATACGTCGCCGTTCAGAAGACGCACCTGCTCCTTGAACTTCACGCCGATTTTGTTATGCTCCACATACTGAGCAGCATGCTCGATATTAAAATGAATCTCCTCATGATCATGGCTCTTCAACTCTTGCGCCAGCTCTTGTAACTTGTTAAACACCTGGTCGCAAGACCGCTCAAAGTCTTCTGTTGATGTCGTCGACATTGCGGCTAAAGTTGATTTGGAATGTCGTGTAAAAAGTGGCACAGTCACCATTTTCTTCAATTCAAGGTCCTTCATATCCGTCCCCGGATGGAACGGCACGAAAAATAGGACATGTGATAGGACGCCTTGCGGTTCGCCCAGATTTCAATATTTGGCGGCGGCGCATTTTCCGGGTTGAAACGCTGTGGCGCTTTAGCTGCAGGGCTGGACTGGTCTTATCACAATGGCGACGAATGGGAAGCCTTTCAGCTGTCTCAGCCCGATTTGGAGGCCTCAAAATCACGCATCTATTGAAGCTTATACGCCATGTGACTAAGTGGCTTAGGCAGGGCTGAATTGAGAGAAATGATGCAGTAATTGTACGCGGCTGGAACGTTGAAGGACAAATCCTAGACATTTCTATAAGCGCCGCTGATGACGGAGGTTATGGCTGTGCGATACTGTGTAAGGTCCCCTACTTCTTAAGATCTTGACTGTTTCAATAATTATCGGCAAGCATTGGCCTTTATAAATCGAGTCAATAACCCACTACGGAAGTTTAAAGGCTTGCATTGGATCATTGATCACCAACATCCTTACTAGCAGACCGTTTCTTCCTGGCCCCCATACACGCAACCATGTCAGATGAAAGTCCGAAGAAACTCAAGTTCCTCTCACTTGGTAATATCAAGAGCGCAATTCAATTGGTCTTCAAACTAACCGAATTTGCAGATGGAGGTGGTGTAAGAGGCTTGTCATCTCTAATAATTCTCAAAAGGGTCATGGACATTCTTGGGGCCAAAATGAAACGACAGGACTTGCAGCCATATCAGTACTTTGACCTGATCGGAGGCACAAGCACTGGCGGGTAGAAAACCCCATGACTTGCTGATTGAACATATGTTAACCTACTTTATAGTATTATCGCGCTGATGCTCGGTCGTATGCGAATGAGCATAGACGACTGCATCAACGAGTACCAGCGACTTGGAAGCATTGTCTTCGGAAAGCCACGCAACGGCGAGTACATGTTTGATGAGAAGGTCCTCGTCCGTGAGACAAAGGCTGTCGTTGCGAAGTACTTAGGTAAGGAGGATGCACCGCTTCTCGACCCTCTCGGAGACGATGCATGCAACACGTGAGTATCTCTCAGTTCACAGTTAAATGGCCTCTACTAAACTCATGACTTTTAGTGTAGTTTATACTATCCCATACCAAAATGCAGTTCAGCAAACAGCTACTGCTTTGCGCTCGTACATCAACGAAGACAAGGATCCGAGACCTAAGGCGTGGACTATCTGGGAAGCTGTGAGAGCGACATCAGCTGCACTTACCGTTTTCGAGCCCTTCGTTCATGGTCCACCTGGGAAAGAAGTTCGATACATGGATGCTGGCTTTGGGTACAACAACCCAAGCGATCTAATTCTTCAAGAGGCTAGAAGTCTTTGGGAAGGCGATCATTACCTAACCCTCAACTCCGACGTCGGAATATTTCTCAGTCTGGGCACTGGCATGGGTCATATCGTCCGAATGGACAACGACTCCGTCATACAAACTGTCACCGCCAAGTTCCGAGCACCCATCAAGGCAGTCGACGCCATGAAGCAGATCGTCACTGGGACTAACAGAATACACCGAATCGTTGCGGATCAATTTGGCTCGAACAGCATTAGGTACTACCGATTCAATGTGGACCAAGGTCTTGAAGGCGTGAAGCTGTTCGATCACAAGAGGAGAGAGGATATGGAGGTTGATACTGATGCATATCTGGAGAAATTCGAAGTGGGGAGACAGGTGAAGAAATGCGTGGATGTCATGAAGGTTTTGCCAGTGCGAGAACCTGGCCTCTTGGATAATCGGCACGATGAAGAGGATATATATAGTCTTGGAGATGACGGAACTCCAGAACAACGAAAGTTATTGGAGAGGTTGAAGGCTTTGAGAATGTAGGTAAGCAGTATCAATGAATCACGTATTGGCATTTGCTCAAACTGTTCTAGAAACCGTGAGTACTTTGAAAGGCACCAAAAGGACTGGGAGAGTCAGGTCAATAAGCCAGAGGCGAAGTACCATAAGCGTCTTTACAGAGGTAAGTTTGACGTAACGGTCATGACCTACAGCTAATAGCCCCTTAGAAGTCGAAACAGTAGGGTATTTATGGAACGCCGTTGTCCAAGCCGATTTGCTCGACGAGCGAGGTCGAGAGATCTTGGTGTCATGCACACCAAACCCAGACCGCCCTCAGCTTAAGGTTATGGATGAATGCAAAGCCATTGCATATTACAGTCCCGCAGACGAAACCCCAGAGAGAGTTGCGGCAAGAATAGAACTCGCCAATCAGGATCTCTCCAATGCTTTTCACATTCTCCGCCAACTACTCTGCACGGCTGCAGCATATTGGGAGGAGCATAGTTTTGTATACTGCTGGGTTGCGAAGAGAATGGGAGGTATTCTGGAACTTTGGGGATGTCGCCGAGAGGCGAGGAACCTGTACTTGGTAGCGAGAGACGGGAAGGTCAAGATGTTTGGGGCAGATCATTGGTCTGTTAGGAATTTGCAGGATAAGTTGGAGAGGTTGACATATACACTTCGAGAATAGAGATTTGAGTTGAATCATCTCCTATCGATCTCAAGGGTCGGAATTACGAAATATCAAGATAGCTCTTCTTGTTAGATGTAGGTTAAAGCTACATACTACTTATGCAGCATCTTTGACGTAGAAAATCTCCATCCAACGTTTCCTAGCCTCTGTTAGATCAATCGTGACTGCGTCGGCTTTGATACGGTCTGCACGACGAATGACCTCCTCCCTCAGCCTCTCCCAATCCACGGTCAGTTTTCCCTTGTGCTTCTTTATCTTACCATCGATGATAACTGTATCAATATCCTTCACTGAAGAATGAAACACGACTGACCCAACTGGATCGCCCACCGGCGTATTCTCAATATCATCACAGCGGACTAGGATAAGATCTGCCTTCTTCCCAACTGTAATAGAACCGATGAGGTCTTCCATTCTCATGACCTCTGCGCCTCCCAGTGTCCCCATCCGAAGCACATCTGCCGTCTTGCGATTAATGGAAAGTGGAAACCCTTGTTCGTTTTCCTGAGCGCGACAAGCTTGTAGTGCGAGCCGCATCTGCGCGATAAAGTCATTTCCCTGATTGGATGTAATATCTATGCCTAGGCATGTGCGACATCCTCGATCAGAAGCTTGGAAGACGATAGGGAACCCCATACCCATCTGTAACTCTGTATCTGGCGTGCCGACGATAGAAGCACCCGACTCCTTGATCGCTTGAAGCTCACTCTGGGTGAAGGATGAGCCATGGCTAAAGACGAGGTCTGGTCCCAGAATGCCTTCATCTGCGAGATTCTGTACAACCTGACGTCGTGCTAAGTCATAGGGTCCCATCGCGACATGCATAGTGATGATACGTGCACCAAGTTCCCTTGATTGCTTGATCTGGGCGATGGTCTCTTCAATGGGCAGAGATTCTGGCTCATCTGGGGCAATACCGAATGTGAGAAGTTGCTCGGCTGGATCGTTCTGACCAAAGAACTTGTCCCTTATCCGGGCAGCATCGTTCAGCCGTGGCGCATGGGAGAAGCCTCTTGGATCAAGCTGATCGGGCAAAGGTGGGTTGGCATAGAACCCATAACAGAATGTTCCCCGGATCCCAGCATCTTGAAGTGCCCGTACAGCAGCATCGGCATGATCAGGCGAATTGATGATATGACAGTGCTCGAGAACAGAAGTCACACCATTGTTGATCAGACTCAGTGCTGCAACATAAGTAGACAGGTAGACATCTTCAGGTGTGTATAAGCTTCCATATATGGTACGCATATTGACAGTGTAGTCAAAAAGTGACCAGTCCGTTGCAACGCCTCGCAAAAGTTGCTGCCACATATGATGGTGGCCATCAACAAACCCAGGTGTAACGATGCATCCTTGGCCATCGATCTTAGTGACATTGTCTCCGGAAGGGTTTGGCAGGGCTTGCCCAATCGCAACGATTCGGTCATCTTGGATGAGAATGTCGGAGTTTGCTAGGGTACCATTCAGTGGGTCCACTGTCAAGACCGTCGCATTTTTGATAAGGATCAAGTTTGGAGATGAAGTCTCAGACATCTTGAAGCTATTCTCTCGAGGCTATTCAAGGGGCAAACTGAAATTCGCGAGCCAGCTCATTGGTTTCAATTCTGACTATTGGGCCTGCCTATATATCTGAACTGATCTCCCATAAGCTGACATTTAACGACGTGGTGATGTAGAGTTGCCCTGTCTCCAACCCCGAATCCGAGGTCCGAAGCTCCACTCCATCGGACTCCGGCCCGAACGGACATCATCACGCACGATTTGAAGAAGGGCTCCGCCGGCTTACCTCAGATTACGTAGATTCCATGTACATACTATATGAGTTGTCAAAATGATTTCAGGCTCAATCCTTCGATAGTCCTTTATAACCTCGGTCATCGCATGATCTTCTCAATAAACTTGGGCTGATTCTTCTCGTTATTAACAGCACTAACACGAGTGCCGAGTTGTCTGTTCCCAGAATCGCATACAGTCGCAAGAATCAACCAAAATGGTTCAATATCCATTTCCGATACCGGATGGGTCGCCATTCCCTATATTGAACATTCCCTTCGGCATCTTTCACACTGTGGATAATGTAAGCGAATGAAACATTTAGTAATGCAGAGTTTTTGCTGATATAACCCTTCTTGACAGTCTGATCCGCGGCCAGGTACTGCGGTTGGTGATCATGTTTTAGACCTTAGAATCCTCATCCAGAACGGACTGCCTGTAGATGAGTCTGTGAATGAAGCACTGGCATCGGTTAGTAACGGCAAAACTGAGAAGAGCCACGGGAGCCCTAACTAACAATGAGACCTCCTGGACAGTCCACACTGAATGACTTTGCTACGCTGGCGGTTGATGTACGCAACTCCCTCCGGAAGTCTATTCAAGAAGCCCTGCGAGATGAGTCCTCTATCGTGTACCGAGAGGATGCCGGCATCATCGCAGCCGACCAAGTCACCATGCATGTCCCAATGAAAATTGGCGGCTTTACGGACTTTATGTGCTCACTGGAACACGTCCAAACTGTGAGCCATGCAACTTTACCACCATGTTACTAATCTCTGACCAGTACACGATAGATGGGCCGTATGGCAGGATACAATGAAGTCCCTCAAAACTTCTTCGATCTACCAGCAGCATACAACGGCAGAGCATCATCCGTCATTGCCAGTGGCCAGAACGTCACCAGACCTCACGGTAGCATTCCCGGACCCAATGGTGCAACGTATGCTCCCAGCCAGAAGTTCGATTTCGAGCTCGAAATGGGCGTTTTTATCTCTAACCCTATCAAATATGGTGAACCGACTCCCGCGTCTAGAGCTCGTGACCATGTTTTTGGGTTCGTTCTTCTGAATGACTGGAGTGCGAGAGATATCCAATTCTATGAGATGGCTCCATTGGGACCATTTAATGGAAAAGCTACAGCGACGAGTATTTCGCCTTGGATCGTGACAGTTGAGGCGTTGGAGGAGGCTGGTGCACTACTAACTACCGAAAATCTGGGTCTGAGAGGAGGAAAGAACACGACCATTCCGTTTCTTCGATGTCAAGACGATGTCGCAGTAAGGGTTTCTACATCATTGTCCCGTAAGTTCTCAACATCATCAATGTCATCTTACAGTAGAGAATTTTTAACCTATGTAACAGGGAACGGAGTGACCGAAGACCTGCTCGGAAAGTCTGATCTGAAGCACCTCCACTGGTCTCCATTTCAGATGGTAGCTCACCACAGTAGCTCTGGATGCGGTCTAGACACGGGTGACTTACTCGGCACTGGTACCCTCTCTTCTAGCACCGACCAGATCAAAGACTTTGGAAGTGATCATGACGTGATTCGTAGGTCAGGTTGTTTGGCGGAGCTCGTTCTAGGTGGCACTAGGCCTTTCACTCTATCTAATGGGTCTGAATTGGTTTGGTTGGAAGACGGTGATACTGTTAGTATGGAAGGATGGGCTGGCTCGGGAGATCGTGTAATCGGATTCGGAAAGGTATCTGCCAAAATATTGCCTGCCAATGAATTCCCTTGATGCGCTTTATGAGGCACTAGGCTATGTGTAGATATATATACATGATGACTTCATGCCATTTGTGAAGAGAAACCTGTCAACAGATCCAAGTCCATGTTCCAATCAACCAAAGCGCCAATGTCCAAGAAATCATTACCAATATCCAGGAGTCCTTCTGTCTGACACCATTCAAACAAATTATTATGATGCCAATCAGGAGTCTCATCCAAGTCCTGAGTCATATATCCCCCGGCACTATCTGTAACGCCAAAATGGGCATTCGTGTAGGAGCTCGCTGAATGCTGGGCATTCGGATACTCTGGAGACTCGATATACGTGGTTGTGATGACATCTTCCTCCCGTGCTGGACTATTGACTCCTGTCATTGGGACTTCGATAGCCCTGGATTCAGTTCCTATAACGCTATGCCCGACGCGGTCGAACGATCCTAGTATCTGGTCAGCAGCCCGCTGCAGGCTCCTAGTCTATTTCACGCAAGTCAGAATATTCTCTTGGACAAGTCAGGTGTTAAGTTTACTAACCATTGGTTCTAGGTGCTCCCAGAAAGTCTGGAGAATGCTGAGTATATCAATATTATCCTGAATCAGTGTCACAAGTGCGTGTGAGACATGGTCCCTTGTGTTTCCATCATGATGATGCCGGCGAGCCCTGGACCTCAAGAGGGTGAGGATGATTGAGGTCGACACGAAGCTAGCAAAGCCTACATGAGAACTGAGTTTAGATATATCCTGCTTTCTAGCAATATAATCCCGAATCAGATGCCCGTGGTGAATAGCATGCTTGGTGATTGTTTGTGCGTGGTTCTGAGGCCCTTCTCCTGTGATGCCCCGTCGACCAGAGAAAAGAGACACCAGGGGACAGAGAAGAACAATTTGACAAAGATGGTATAATGAGTGCAGTCCCAGCAGCCGTGCAATATCACGACCGGTACCCTCGTTACCTGTAACGTAAGGAGGAAACTGGCTCGATTCATAAATATCTTTCGCCAAGCTGGACAAATGTAGTATGTGGGTGACGTCTGGACTTTCCTGCTTGTCTCTGTTTATAAGCTGGATTTTAACCCTAGACAACGAACGGAGCATTAGTGGTGTCACCGAAGGTTTTGATTGGGAACTTACCAAACCCCCATGAGCTTCATATGTTCTGCCATTATTGATGAAGGGGGATTCGGCTCTTCATTGAGCGCTTCAGGCTTCCATTCCGCAGTCATGTGGTACTGACGCGCGACGTTCCCATCACTAACAAAGCCATCTGATGCAACAGGAAGTGGCACATTACAAGCTTCCTCCCAGGCGTTCTTCGCATAGGCTTCAGGAAAAGAAGAGATACACATCGTTGACCAGCATGCCCAAAAACAGCCATGCTTTCTTTCTACAAGCTGCAGCTCGTCTTTCGTCCTTTTCCCGTTGTCTGATATGTTAAGGGAACGAAATGTAGTGGCCGATGCATAGGCCATAACTAGTTTGGGGCATGTTAAGCTCAGGAGATTCAACGTTCTAATCATAGATTGTTGCACTTACCAGCGTTGATCCGAGCTCGGTCTAGATCTCTTGTCGCAAACCAGTACAAGTTGAGACATGAAAGAGCTTGAACTACCTGAACTGTCGGCCGATCTGTGAGAAGCCAAGCCTCGCGTCTTGCTGCCTCAACCCAGGCATCCCCATAGCTAGCATACGTAGCAAATGCTGCAAGCTCTGGAGACACCGCATGAGTACCTAGTCTAGGTGGCTGATGCCGTGGTTTACGAAGGAACCTGTGGCGATGTCAGAATAAGAGGCCTGCATGTGAGGTAGATGCGTACAATGATGACAGTGCAAATATGCTCCTCAATAGATATGGAGGTAGACTGCCATCTAAGTAAGACTCAAACAGCTGAGTGCGATTAAAAAGCAAGGTAGCATTGTATAACCGTTCAAAGTAAATATCCAACATCGCGAGCCCTATGGCCCGTGGCGGTAAATCGTCCAGGTTGGTGCCAGCAGAGCCTGGGGCTACATGTTCTGTTCGTGATGGGCCAACATCAACAAAGCCGATACTGCTGATTCTTGGAGCCTCTGATGGACTTCTGACTGTGCCAACATTGAGCTCTGTCGACTCCGGAGTCACTGGGGCGGCTTCAGGACGGGACTGTTCGGCCCGCACGGATTCACGACGGGCTGCGAGACGTCTGCGATCAGCTAATTCAGGATAGCTGCAGGTGACTGAGAAGCGGCTGCATCGCGTGCAGGTTGGACGTTGACGACTGCAGCGAAGCTGTCGGCCCGAGTGTCAGCAGTTGACATTATGTTGGGGGAATATGGCGAACCTTCTGTCTGCGACATCTCTCACAGGCTGTACGTGAGAGGGTGCTATCAGACCCTAGACGCGGGGAGTTAGTGTCCACTGCGCTCATTTTTATTTGCAGATAAGATTCATCGCGTTTCTTGATGACCGGATGAAGCCTGGGTGATGAATCGGGATTTCGGTTGTCCAAAAACACTTCGGGCCGAAAGACGAGCCGAGACTGGAGCCCCCGCAAAATGTCAATCTTATTTCCGAAGGCATCTCCGTTGCCTCCAGTCATTCTCTCACTTCAGTATGGGAAAAGCTCAGGGGACTGGTGGTCTTTTCTGCGCAGTAAGAAACTTATCATATTCCTTTTGCAGTGGTACTGCGATGCCAAATTTCAACATCGATAGACTATGATGATTGATCTTCCTCTCCTTCACAAATCCATATTCCTAGCTCCTGCGCATGAATAGCAGCTGGCTCAAACAGCGGTATGTCCCCAACATCCTCTTGCCTTAGCACAAAGCCCAAGTCCGTGCTACCCAGTATAATACCTTGAGCTCCTCTTTCAATCAGCTTTTTCGCTCGTTGAATGAACATCTTTCTTGTTGAGTCTGTCACAGAAGCAACGCCCTTCGCCACTTCTTGAAGCATGCCTCTGTTAACCTCCTCAATATCCGCTGGTGTTTCCGGGATCAGGATCTCAAAGCCAGCCTTTCGTAACTTGGCCACAAAGAAATCTGGATCATCGGAATCGAGCATCGAGATCTTTGGGCCAAGGAGACCAAGCTTCTTAGTTGATGGATGATTGTTGGTAATGTGGAGTGCGAGACAGTCCGCGATGTGAAACAGTGGGACATGAGCCGATGAGGAGTCATCAAATAGTTTTTTGGCGACCTTGTGTGCAAGAATAGCACAGATCGCGATGCCATCCACCCTATCACTCAGCGACCTGATGGGTTTCTTATACACTTTTGCGAACTCGTCCCAGTCTCCCTTCATGGCGTGTTGAATCATCTCTTCGAGGTTGGCGCTGTACAGATATAATGGGGCTGATGCTCGATCGCCGAGTTTGAGTCTGACAACTTTGTTGATGATGTTGTAGTAGAGGGCGGTGACATCTGGTGTCATGCCCCCAAGCAATAAAAGAGTCCTCATTTTGACTTGTTTCAACCCTTGATCGTGGGATTTTCGAGGAGAGAGATTCGCGATAGGAAAATGTGAGGAGTTGCAGCAATTATGACTCAAGAAGGAACATGACAGTTAAAGGGCGCAAATGTGGGTACACGATGCTGACGTCAATCTCACAACCTCGCTTCGTTGATAAGAACCCTAGTATAAACGTTCTCATCTTTAATATTATGCACAAAGAGGATCCATCTGACATTTCCCCTCTTTTTTTCTATCCCTTCTCAAAATGTCTATAGAGAGGCTTTGCTATACGAGAAGCATTGTGTCATTAGAAGCAAGATTCTCCCCAAAGCTCAACATCTTGATGGCTTACAAAGCTTTCTCAACAATGGCTATGCAATCAATCTCGACCTGACAATTTTGAGTCAGCATGTTTCCCGTTATTGATAGGCGGGCAACCTACCTTGGCGCCTTTGCCCAGTTCTGAAACTGTCACACAGACCCGAGCAGGCTTGGGATTGGGAATCGTGGCAATGTCTATAGCAGCGTCAGCATTTTCTCATAACGATCATTGAACGTGAGACGTACAAACGGCGTTCATAGCTGCAAAGTCGTTGATGTTTGTCAGGTAAATGTTGCACTACAATTGCATCAATATCGACACTCATCTCGCATTATGAATTTGTGATACCTTGAGAATTTTATCAAGCCCACTTCCTGCTTCGTGGAGAACAGACTCTAGTAGTCCAAGTACGGCTTTCTTTAGATGGTCAGAGCCCGTCTTGAGAGTCGGGTACTTGATGACTTACCGTTTGTTCAGCAACATCATCCGATACGAGAACATTAGTCTTGGCATCAACGCCTATCTTGCCACTTGTATACACAAGGCCGTTATGGGTAAGAGCTTCTGAGAGGATCGGGGACGAGAAGCCCGGTCGGTTGATAGCTAGTCTGTTGGCCATTTTTCAGTGTGATAACCTGATATCAGTGTCAAGAGAAGGGTATATGATAGATGCGGATGGCTTTTACAGAACTGGCAGTCGAAATATATATACTCATTTCATAGGTTTCTGTACTTTATTTGAGAGTTATGACTTCTGTAACGGTGTGGAAACACTGCCGATGTTTGCTCTCATTTGCTAATCCCCACTCTATCGGGTCGCGAGTCGTTGGTGCCATTGACAGTCCCATCAACGGCCAATGATCGAGGGTGCTCGTGTTCTTCCGGAGCTAGACACACCTAGGCCGTGTTAGTGCGGCTGCTATTATTGAACCGCAAGAAGAGCTTCTTGCAATCCCGGTACCAAGAAGTCAATGGAGCTCGGAAAAGACGAGAGCCTACGCCAGTTGCCGAAGTTCAACAACAGCTCTATGCCGAGGAAGAACAGACACTCGTCAACCATTTAAATCTGGGTTTTGATCATAGAGAATCCTCCATGTTATTCTCCTTTTAGTTTATTTACAAGTACTTATTCAGGAGCTGGGAACTCGTCTATGAGCTCGCTCAGCAACCAGTCCACCCCAGTCGTTATACCCGTATCAGACATTCCAGCCATCCACTGCGACAAGCCTTCCGGGTATGTCTCCTGTTCCGGGCCTATTGCAATAGGCATTACTTCCTTTCCTTGATGCGAATCAGTCATCATTGTCATTGTTCGGCTTGCAAGCACTTCAAAGATATTGCGAAAAGGCGCAGCTTCAGGCCACCGCTCAGCAAGGATCACCAGAACCATGGTACAATCTGTACAGGTGTTGCTGACTTCGTCATGTCGAGATACTTGTCGTGCTGCGGGTGACATCCACAGACAGTAGAGGTATGTCAGTCCGGCGAGGAAGAGTTCATGCAAGGCACTCCATGTGTAGGCCATAGGTTTCCCAAAGTATTGACGTCGGAAGATGTGGCACGTCTGCCTCGAAGTGTTTAGACACTTCAGAAAGATCCCATCCGATGCTGAAGTCTTTGTGTCCGTGATTTGTGGCCGGAAGAGTTGTAGTACGGCATAGTTGTAGTTTGCTTCATACCAATCTGCACTGACGAAGAATGAGAGTGCACCACCATCCGGGGGTGTCATTGGGGGAGGGCGTGCGGCATACCATTCCTCTAATTCGTCCGAGAGATGTTCAATAAGGGCTTGGCGGATTGTGGCATCTCTCAGAGTGCTGTCAGAATACAAAGTGGTTTGAATGCGTCCTATCAACGCACGTATACGGAATCCATGAATGGCATGGGTCATCATCGTCGACGGCTCGGAGGTTAATGACCTTGGGGCGCCATAGATACCGGTTGAGGATATTTGTGACTCCTTGATGTCCAATGGAAACTTTTAATAGTCAGTCATACAGCGTTTCATTACGGTCCGAAGGATTTACCTCAGCATCTATCTCCTGGTAATGAAGACTCAGCGGCCTTCCCAACATAACTGCAGCCGAGCACTCCATCACGTATGCGCTCCAAAAGGCTCGCTTCTGGAGCTCTCTTTGCAATGGGTTGAGGGTAGACCGTAGTCGCTTCTGATTGCGATGGTAGCCAAGGTTGACACATTGTCGGAGAGCTTGGCCTCCAAGCTTCCTGTCTAATGTCAGTTTGTGCACTCCGAATGGTGAGGCACTCGGCAAGCCTTACCAATGCGACGTGCCTTTTGCCGAGCGTAAAGAATAGGCTGCTGAACAAAGGATCGCTTGTATGCACTCCAGGTTGTCATTACAAATGATCTCATCTATGTAGAGCATGGCAGAGACATAAAGTTGCTCTGCTGAGTAGCCCAAGCCGGGTTTTAGGAGAGCTCCTATGGCGTAAACCTAGTGTAGTCGTTAGACAAGTATTCAGACAAGGTCCATGTAGAGCTACCATATTGAGGAAGTAGAGAGGTACGGGGTCATAACCAAGGCTACTCATCGCTTCGAAGGGGTCTTCCAAGACCGTCTCCCACAGTCTAAATGTCGGTTCATGCAAGAATGGATACTGGGGATGGATGTTCTGAAAATAAGCGTTGCTCAACTTGACAGCTGTCTGATAGTCTGGCAGCGGGCAAGGTTCTGGAGGATACAATGCATGGCCATGAGATTGGGATCTCGAGATTGAAGAGATTTCCGGAGGTAGTGATGCAACTGCTTGGCGAATAGAGGGCTTCATGAAGCGTGCGAAAGCGAACGCAGACGATGCCCCAAGATAACTTGGCTCGGCCCCAGCCGCGTTCAGGCTCAGAGTCCCAATCATGGACGAGAGATCATCGAGTTCAAACCTCTCGTCAATGGCAGTCGTACTAGCTTGATCTGAAGTAGACGCAGCCTGACTACTTGCTGAAGGACTTGGGCCATTGGTAACACTGAACTGGGCCTTTTTCAGCTGTGCTTCCAACAGAATTACTCTTTGTTCTAACGTCTCCAGGTAGTTCCGTGGCTGATGTCTCTTCGTTATCGGGTCTTCCACAAAGCAACCTACACATTGTTACTGCTTGAGAATAATCTGCTGCGACGGATCTAATGCTTACCAAGACCACTTCGCCGACAATTGCTGCATGACGGGATTTGCTCATCGCACTAACAAATGTGAGCCTTGGCACTAGAATAAGCCTAGCGGTATGCACCTTCAACTTTCTGTCTTTGCAACTTATGCATGCAACAAGAGTTCTGCTACCGGTTCGCACGCGTTGCGCCGCCCCTCTGGCTGGTCGACTCTTGATGACCTCAGGCATGGTTGGCTAATTCGCTGATCTCAGGACTGTAGGGTAAAGCGCATCTGTGGGTCTTAGACAACCCGATTGAACAAGGGTATGCGAGATGAGACCACGCACGGAAGAATCCGTGTTCAATAACGGCTCATGAAGTTCTACAATGATCAATCGAATGTTACAAGTCTCAGATCCTTTTTGCGAGACAGAATGATTGTCAAAGGTTGAAGAGAATCATCGTTCCGATGCGGAGGGCGGACCCTGCGTTTAGCACTATCCAAATGCAGCAAAGACCAACTTTCAGCTCCACCAGCGAATCTTCCCCTCCTCGGAAGAATACGAAGGGCCAATAGACAAGAACCATTCGCCGAGGGAGCGGGGAATTGCTGCGACACTGCCCGCGTTATCGCTGGCAAATCGGCTGCTGGTATCTGCTTGGAGCAGGGGAGCTGTAAAGGCTTATTTGCGATAGTGGTATAAACGCTTCAAATCACCTTTTGGAGAGCACAGTCAGTGGTTCGAACAGAGAATACTTGAAGTAATCAATTTACTTGCAAACCAGACTGCCAGCAAGATGTCATCAAATCTCTCAAGCAAATCCTCACCAATCGTCGTCGTTGGTGCTGGTGTCTTTGGTCTAAGCACGGCCCTTCACTTGGCGGAGCGCGGTTACACCAATGTCAAGGTTCTTGATAAACAGCCATATCACGAATCTCAATATTCGTATGACAAAGGATGTGATGCTGCCTCAGCAGGTAAGATGATACGAATTTCTTCAGTATGCGGACTAACATTCTTCAACTAGACATCAACAAAATTATTCGTGCAGCATATGGCAAAGAGATTTGGTACCAGAATCTCGCACTTGATGCCATCACGAAGTGGAAGAAGTGGAATGACGAGCTCAAGGCCGGAAAACTCAGACCTCCTGGGCTTTCCTCGTCTGACAAACTGTTTGTCAACAACGGAGTTCTCACCATTACTTCAGAGTCATCATTGTCGCAATTTGACATAGACACCATTGAGAACATGACCAAGGTAGGATTAGAGCATACACAGATCGATCTCAGCGAGCCGAAGGACGTTGAGAGGGCAAAGTCTCAGGGATTCGACTTTGCTCTTAATGCCTTCGACCTCAAGAACAACTCCGCCCTTCTAGATACTCAGTCAGGCTTTGCCTACGCTGACAAAGCCTGTCGTTTTGCACTCAACAAAGCACAGACTCTGGGTGTGCAATTTCTTTTTGGAGAATCCAAGGGAAAGTTCTCAAGCTTTGTTGAGAGCACTGATTCACAGATCACTGGTGTCAAAACGGCGGATGGAACAGTGCATGCCGCGGAGCTAACGATCATGGCTTGCGGTGGCTGGACTCCTTCGCTTATCACGCAGCTTGACAATCTCTGCGAGACTACTGCTGGAAGCGTGGCTCTGTTTCAATTACCACCCGACAAGGCTTTATGGGATCGCTTTGCACCCGAAAACTTCCCGACTTGGTCGTGAGTAAAGACCTACCTCAGACTTGAATAAATACTAACTGGCAACCTCCAGATATAACATGCGCCATGGTAAATATGGTGGCCTCTATGGCTTTGCACGAGATGACAACGGTGTTGTCAAGATGGGCTATCGTGGTACAAAATTCACCAACCCCCAGACTCAAGCAGATGGCACTGTCAGAAGTGTACCCAAGACTCGATGGACAGAAGAGTCTATCCACCAAATTCCGCTCATCGGGGCGAGAGTTGTCAAGGGTTTCGTGAAAGACCTCCTCCCCGAGCTGGCGCAGTGTGAAATGAGCACTCGTCTTTGCTGGTACACCGACTCATACGATAACCATTTCGTCATTGATCTCGTGCCCGACAAAATGGGTCTGATGGTTGCGACAGGCGGTAGTGGACATGGTTTCAAATTTCTTCCTAATCTGGGTGAGCACGTCGTGGATAGGATTGAAGGGAGGGAAAATGAGTATCTGGACTTGTGGAAGTGGAGAGGCTTGGAAGCTGGTGCAAAGGCTTTTAATAGTCTGATGGAAGGTGTTGGTAGTGACCGTTCACTCCAACATCAGGCGTTTACGACAGTTGATGGTTCGTCGAAGCAGCTTAGCCGACTCTAGTTCAGGCAGGTCGCACAGATATTGCCAAGTTAGCAGAAGTGACTTATTATGGTCATGCACTTCATAATGTGAACCTTGGCCATATAGTCCTGATTCATTCCATCTTGGTGCCAAGTAAGTCGTTGAATGTTGGGACGCGATCGAAATTCAGCTTCATTGAACTTCTGACTAGTTCTAGTCAATAATCGGTGTATACTCGTCTTTTGACACAGTGAAGGGGAACCGTGACCAATATTCACGACTCCCTGCGGAAGATACCGCGCCGATGCGCCTTTGTAGAACTGGGTTGAACCAAAAACATTATGTCCACGATGCTTAGTACATAGCAGACCGAACGAATGAACAACAGCTACCGAATATGATGACCCGAATCGACAACAGTTGATCATATAGAACTACTTTAATACTACCAAGGCAGTACAGACGCTAACCAATTTCACCCGCACCCGTATCCCCAGACTTCCATGAAAGGCGAAACTTCATAATTCCCTAACTTGACCTTACGCTACCCTCGAGACGTTCTTCTCGTTGGTGTCATAATCTTTCATCTTATCGTCACTGGTAAGTCTGTTAGATCTGATGCGAAAAAGCAATACTGCAAAGACTCACACATTATCACCGAAGTCCTCCTTACCATTCACAGTCACTCCCTCAACGATCATCCGTTTGGTGCGCCTGTGAGCGTTGAACCATGGACCACGGAAGAGATCCTCAATCTCTTCAACACTCAGACCAGAAATCTCAGGAATCATGAGATAGGTGTAAACGATCGCAACAGCGCACCAAGCACCGAAAAAGATAAAGGCACCCCACTGATGGAAGCTTGAGAGGATAGATGGCATGCTGTACTGCATCGCGTAGATGAACAGCCAGTGGAAGGCTTGACTAAGAGCACTGCCGAAGGATCGAATCCGGTTTGGCCACAGCTCACTGCCAAACACATAAGGGAGAATGAATAGCCCTGTTGACTGTTAGTAAGTTCACTTAGTAGATCATGGGGTTAAGACTCACCGACTCTATAACCAAAGGCATGGATGAAAAGTGCTGCAATTGCTGCGTTTGAAGCGGCTTCGGAGACAGGACCTTTCTGCGAAGTCCTGACATAGACAGCAAGATAGATATGAGTCACCATCTGCAGCCCGGCACCGACGAAAAGAGACTTTCGCCGACCGAGAGCATCGATGAAGAAGAATGTGGCGATAAGGATGAAGAAGAACTTGGAGACGCCATACATGCCGCTGAGGAACATGCTATGGGCTGTGTCACCACCAACGCCGACGATGGCGAGGATGGGGACGAAATAAGAGGTAATGAGATTAGCCCCGGATAGTTGGGCAAGCGCGTAGCAGACAAGGCTCTGTTGAACGCGGCGCAGATTGGATGCGATGGTGAAAGTTTCCTTTGCTATTGTCCACAAGCTTGAGTTTCCGACCGCCTCAGCTGTTCTGTTGATGTCGTCTTCAATGTCTCGGATCTCATGCTCCACACGAGCGTCATCAGATCGCAGACCGCGGATCTTGACAAGTGTATCAATAGCCTCTTGTCGACGCTGAGCCATGAAGAGCCAACGTGGAGACTCTTGGATGAAGAAAGTGGCGATCATGCAGAGACCCATCAGGATCATTGGGGTAAGCCAAACGATTTGGAACTGAAAATTACCAACGGGCACATGGCGGTAGACTCCGAGAGTGCAAAACACTGCTGTGAACAAGCCGAGACCCATCAACAGAGTGAACCATGCTGCGAGAAGACCTCGAATTTCCGCTGGAGCGATCTCGACGATGGACATAGGGCAGGTGACTGTCAAGGGACCGAGGCCCAACCCTTGGATGACACGGGCAGCGTAGAGGACATTGAGATTTGGGGAGAAGATGGCCATGAGAGTACCGATGCAGTAGATAATAGTATAAAGGCGATAGGACCAAAGCCTTCCGATTCGGTCATTGATGAAGAAGGTGAGAGCTGAGCCGACTCCAAAACCAACGTAAACGATAGATACGAAGACTCGAATCTCATCGGCGTTTGATCCGGAGACGATTTTGAAGTGGTTCTGGAAGCCAGGAAGGGAGGGGATGACCGAAGATGCACCCTGATCCCAAACTATGATAAATCATAAGTAATGGGAATACAACTGAAGTGGGTAATTACTTACTGACGGGAAACCCACCAAAGGCATAGACCAATGATGATAACAGGAGATGTGGATTAAAGATGACCTCGCGGGGTGCTTCGCGTATGGCCTTTCCATAGCCTGCCAGGGGTGAGTTGCGGAGCATGTTCTTGAAAGTCATGTTGAGTTGTTAGGCAGAAAGTTGAATGACCAGTGAGAAGTTAATACCCCATCAATACTTGCGAGACAAACGATGGATATATAGCTACTCCTTCGGTTCGTTGTTCCAGATAACAAGTGACGGCCTTTATCACGCGCGCATAAGCGATCTTACCCCAGAGATACCAAATTATCGATAATCTACATCATGTTTAGTTAAGCTTGCAGCCAACCGTAGTGAAAACGTTATCCGCGGGATTGGGTTTATCTCTGAGAGCAAAGAGTGGAGTCGGCAATTGATAGTGTAGTCGACTCCTATAGGCCCTTCGTATTCTTCCGAGCTTTGGCATTCTATTAGTGACATTCTATCAACCAACCCCCGCTTCAAAGTTTGCCTCATTTTGCGGGGTATGCCACAACTTGACAAGTCTCCCGCGTGACTTCGTATGCTGTTTGAAGTGCATTTTTAATGAGTTGTGGAAGTGGCTGGATCTGGCTGAGGGATGAGGCTTGTTGTGCGCCTCCCCTCGTGAGGCCAACGGAGGCTTCAAGATATTTGCTGAAACTCTTGGGGCACGAGAGAGTGATATTGTGACAAATATTCTCAGGGATGTTCTCATTATTTCCAGTTTATTGATCTATGGGCTGACTGCAGCTGGAGTCTAGTGATCGTGATGTTTGTATCTCTTCAGTTGCTACTACAAAGAGTTTTGAATCTGTTCAACAAGACTTGCCTATTCTGAACCTAGCGACACTATCCACTGAAATATGTCTAATCAGACCACTTTGAAGACTGAGTCAGCTGTGATCTCTCTTTCATGAGCAAAGAAAATGTACTTACACATTTGTAAGACATGATGTCGGCCCCATTATCCACGCAAGTTGGAGTGCCAGGCAACGTGACTCCTGCCTCAGACCCTCCACAGTTGGCCTCGGTATAGAAGACGCAGTTGCCCTCAGCCCGGATGGACTTTGGGTTCAGTGGGCCACTGTTGCAAGGTCCTGTTGTAGAGGTGGCAGGGTAGGCTTCGGTGCAGGATGTGCCGGGCATGTCTTGTCCAAAAGTGAAGCAATCCGGAACGCTCTCTGACGAGCTGAGCTCGCGAGAGAGAGAGTTGATGTCCTCTGCGTTCAGAGTACAAGCACCGTTGCTGAAGGCAGTAACTAGGGGAGAGGTCAGCTGAATCGTCATCAATACGGTACTACCGACTTACTTTTCCAGCTCGCATTGGCGATATGGAAGGTTGCCAGAGCGGCGACAATAGTAGTAATGGAGAGCTGCATGGTGTATTTGGCGCAGAGGTTAAAGTGGGATGGAACTGAGAATGTATGAGATTCTGTCGATATTGAGTTGCGATAGTGTCTTATATGGTGTTGCGTAAGGTTTGCTTAGGCCATGTTTTCGCTGTTTCACTATTTACTTCGCCTCAGTGGTCAACAATAGAAATTTGATCCCATAAAATTAATATTCCTCCAGGATTGAATCCTTCGATACAGTGAATTAGTTAGGCTGATTCACTGGAGCTTGGACACGGATCTTCATGGGTCCATTGGCTAATTCCTAATGGATTTGTTTCACCGTCTGCCGTTTGACCAAAGCCTGTGAAATCTTTAATTTTACAGCGAAATGACTCGCCAAATGGACCACCGCAAAGCTGGAACGGAATTCCGCCTCTCCCTTATTCTCTTAGGCACCTCTTTCCGAGTCCACAGCGACCTGACTTGTTTTGATCATTTTTAGTTCGGCTTGATCTTCGTCACATTAAGACCGTGTACCTTGCCGTGTACCCATTGGAGGGAAGACGATGTCAAGGTCAGTAATCCTGATGACCCAACAAAAACTGCAACCCGCTGAATGGCACTGAACTGATCCATCATGGGATACGGATACCTGTAAGTGTTAGCTAGTGAACCAGATTATATGTCGACAGCTATACTTACCAGCCATTTTGGTAATAGCACAACTCAATCCAGCACCAATAAACGACAGCCAAAATGGTACTGGTGAACATCATACTCCTCGTAGTAATAGTCGCTCGGGGACTGTACAACAGTAAGTCCGGTACCAATAGCACCGCAGGTACCAGGTGGTATCCAAGATCAGCCCAGGGATTGATGACAAGGTCGGCTGGCATGAGTAATGATGGATCGTGGAATTTGATAGACCAGTATAGGACAGCAATCATGACTTCGAGAGGCGTCGCAAGAAGTGAGATAGTGTCTTTGGTCCTTGAGAAGCCATCATGTCTCATAAGATCTGCGATGAGGCCAAAGGTAGATGTGATAAGAGATAAGGTGAGGCCCACGACAGTGAGAAGCTGAAAGTACCATCCGAAAGAATCAGAGTATGCTGAGTCCCAGGTTGTCAAGAGGTAAAAGCTATAGGAAAAGGAGAGTATTCCAAGACCATGTAAAAAGATCTTGGTTGGGTTAGCCTGTATAGGCGAATTGCTTGTAATAGTGTATGCCATGTTCAAGCTTGTTTGACTTTCATGAAGTGAAGCTATAAAGATGGCGCTTCGCAGGATATCGCAATTATATCAGACGTTGGATGCTATGAATAAGACCCTACATCGATATCTATTAATAACCCCCAGCTGCAGCAAATTTTCCGCCGGACCCCAAAGTCTACGATAAAGGCTCAGCCTCAGAGGTACTGATAAGATCGCAGCAAGGTTGGGTGCCATTTGCATGGGTGTAATCGCGTACCAGATTTAGTGCTTATTTTTCCGGTGGAGCGAAAATAGCTCGTGTCTCCTGCAGATTCGTCCCCATTCTCTTACATGAGCGGGCTCAAGTAGAAGACAATAAAAGGCCTAAGAATAGTGAGAACAATGCACTCGCGAAAAACGTAAGCGCTGTTGGCAGGTTTCTGAAAAGTCTACTAATGTGCTGTCGTGGCTTGAAGACAAGCTTTCAGCTGGCGTTACCAGGCTTGCAGCAGATGGTGCATTGGGTTGAAATGATACCCGAGACCTGATAAGAATACTGGTTGTGTTATTATCTACCAACTATACATGTAACAATTGCCAGTGCAAAGGGTGTCTGAGAATAAGAAAGCTGCGGCTGAGATCGCAGCCTACATGAGTGGTTTCACATGCCATCTTGTTCAACCATACCTAAACCTTCGGAAGAGATTTTACTCTGCAGCATCTCGACTTTTTCAGTACCACGTGGCGGAGCATCATTACCTCAAATAGCCGAACGAAGCCAATGATGAGTGTGTCAATGCGAGGCCAATGCAGCAGGGGTCATAAGGCTGTTGAGTAAGCGCCCGTAAAGTGGCTCTAGACATCTCCATCACCCAGGATATGACTGATAAAAAGCCCTCAAAATTCGACAGTTTCGGATATCTCGGGCCACTTTGGGACTGCGGTTGTATTGAGGTATTCGTAAGTCTTACAAGGCGCAGTGCATATGCGGTTCTACGGCATTAACCAATATTTACAAGGTATCTTGCAGAAAGAAAGTGGATCTGCGGATAACAGGCCAGAAGGAGTAGGAGTATCATCGTTTTCCTCCGTGTACTACCATTTCTAGAAGGCTGGTAGAAATTCCCTCATTTTAAGTGACTATTCTTGTCCTACAAAGTGGCTTATAGGTCTCAGATGCCCTTCGATTCACTAATACCAAGCTTTCTGAGATCCTGACATGTGAAGAAGACCCTGTAGACGCGGCCTGGCCCGTCCGCAAGGCACTAAAATAGTATACATGATACCATGCCAACTGGCATTTTAGACCCCAATCGTGCATGAGATAAGTGACATCGCGGGGATCATGGCAGAGTTAGTTCATTCAGCGGCGCTTATGGGACTTCACCCTTGACTAACAGGGCTGAGCTAGTCGGCCCCCGAAGATTAGAAGCTGTTCCAGACCTGAGGATATCATGGTGAAATTTGTGAGTATGGATGTTGGGCTAGATTACAGATTATGGTGTCGTACATAAAGTAGCCTGGATCCACAGATGGACATAACTTCATACGATTTAGTTGACGACAACCACTCCCACTTGTCGCTGAAGCAATGTTTCTCTCCTTTATACCCATCCTCTCTATTGTGATCCTAGCCTTTGTGCTCAGAGCTTTGTTCAACTATCACCGTGGCCCGCTTTCACGCCTCCCTGGACCATGGTACACCCACTTCACTGGTCTTCCACTGCTATATACCAGGGCAGTCGGAACCAGCCGTCAGCATCTTCGCCATCTTCACAAGGTTCACGGTCCAGTAGTCAGAGTTGGACCCAAGGAAGTTTCCATTAACAGTGTCGATGGCTACTACAAAGTGCACGGCGTGGGTAGCCATTGCCTGAAAGCACCCGTCTTTGACCACATCCGCTTCAGCCACTCATCTATGCTCTTCACCATGCGAGATCCTCGTATTCACTCTGAACGCAAACGGATCATTGGTAGGGGTTTTGCATCAATAAAGGAAGAACAGGAAGTGAAGATTCAGCGACTGGCTAGTCAAGCAGTAGCCAATATCAAGAACGAGGCCGAGAAAGGCCAGGCCGATGTCTACAAATGGTGGCGCTGCCTGGCTGTCGATGTCGTCAGTGAGATGTCTTTCGGCAAATCCTTCAACTTGTTACATTCCGGTGGGAAAGGTCTACCCCTCTATACGGCTTTGAGTCATGCTGGTCCTTCTGTTGTCTTCCAAGCAGTACTCCCCCGCAGGCTCATATCTCTGTTCAAGTGGTCTCCTATTGCCTGGCTTAGAGACGTTGGTCAAGTCACTGAAACCATCTTCAACCGTGTAACATCAGCACTCGGCGAACTACGAGTTTCATCAAATTGCGGCCCAAGTATCGCCCTTCACTTGTTGAGTCAAGAGGTGAAAGGCAAGAAGCCCAGCCTGAACGACGATGAGTTGAGCTCTGAGGTGAGTATGCTTCTTGTTGCCGGCTCGGACAGTACGGCTACTACTTTGACTTATGCGACATGGGAGATTGTCAGAGACCCAGACCTCCGGGCGCAGATTGAGGAGGAGGTCAGTAGTCTGCCTATGAACTTCACGACCAAGGATGTTGAGGTACTACCCCTCTTGAACAGCGTCTTGGAAGAGGTCCTGAGGATGTATAATCCTGCAGCAGCACTTGTAGAGAGACTCGTACCTCCGACTGGGATCTCTGTTCATGACTGGGATATCCCTGGAGGTACAATGGTCTACACGACGGGATGGCTCATTTCCCGGCTTGATGATGTTTTCTCCGATCCCGATAGGTACGTGATTTGTCTGCAGGGATATTCGGAGGCAGGTGCAATCACTAACTGTAGAAGATTTGATGCTACCAGGTTCCTGAATCCAACCCCAGAAATGAAACGAGCACATGTTCCTTTTAACATCGGTGCGAGGAGATGCGTCGGTATGCATGTGGCTCGGATGGAGATCCTTGTCACCTTGGCTATGCTTTTCCGCGAGTGTAGAGGCTTACAGCTACATCGGGATATGACGGATGAACTTATGACACAGGCCGGAGAGTTCTTTATTGTTCCCAAAGCAGGACGGTGTAATATTGGCGTTTTGGGACAGTAGTCATACATCGATAGACGTTGTAAACGAAAACAGTTTTAGTTTCAGCGGAAGTTGTTATGTCCAAGATCGGTTCCAGAATTTATTGATCTCGAAGTCGCGCCAATCAAATCAACAACTATCCTACAGAGACTATGCTTCAGTATTTATCACGTCTCTCAATAAGGCATCCAAGTCCAACATGCCCGAACTCTCAAGACTGAAAGCTAGATCATTCCTTGTGGAGGTTTCCCCGAGTGCCGGTTCTTCCAAGAAGGTAGGAGCCCATGGTCCCCTTTCAATGTGATCTTGGACAGCCTCTCTGGAAAGCCATGGAGTCACCGTTGGTAGTTGGGGCCATGTACTGCTGCTCGACCTATTCAGTCTGTGGAGCACAGAATTATCCGTGTCATCCGCTATTGTCCGGTTCAGATCGATAAGGATAGGATCGCCCTGACGTACTTGGTTTTCTAGAGTAGACTGTTGTTGAAGTGAGTTCCCAGGGGCCGATCCACTACCATGGATTAGATTTGGCTCTTCAGCCTGTTCGAAATTGGGTTCGCGTCTGTTCCAGTAGTTTCTGAATATCGACACCATAGCTCTCTGTACTGTCGATTGTAGCTGTTGGCTGGATGCATCAGGTCGGATTACAAGTCCACTAGAGTCCAGCTCCTCCAACATAATAGCAACTCCTTCTCGTTGGGCAAACTCTTGCATACGGCAAAAGTCTTCCGATTGTGTCGAATGAATGAAAATGGTAGAAGGGGGGTCTATATCGGGAAAGAGGATTGACCATACGGTATACCATTGTTGTTCAACTGAGCCTTTACTCTTCAGTGATAGCTGGTTCTTTTGTTGCTGAGATATGCCTTCCAGCTTTGCTGATGGGCCCCTTATACATGACCTTCTCAATACATGCGAATCAAATGGATCGAAGTCCTTGAACGTTTCGTAGCAGATCTGACAATAATACTTGGGTGTATGTCGGCGCGTCAAGTGTTGTTTCAAGTGTGCAATAGTATCGTTCTTCTTCATGAAGCAATCCCAATACCTTTCCGGATCTAACTTCCAGTATGGGCATGCTAGAAACTGCGACCGCCCTTCGCACTGCGATTGACTTGTCTTGCCCCTCTTCTGAGGTGGCTCATTCCTTTTGTCTCTGCCTTCATCTCCATGGTCGTCGTCTTGCCGTTGGTTCTTCCGTCCACGTGTTGAGCTTGTTCCATCCCTCGTACCAGAGGAGCTTGAAGACCCGCCTTGTGCAACTTGCTTTCCTTTTGAGCTACTGCCGCTCGATTCACCCCTCGCCATGACATCCTGCTGACCGAGAACGGCAAGACGGCGAAACACTCGGCCGAAGATGCGGAACCCTTGTGTGTTCCTATCTAGCTGACACGTTCCTTCTGAATCTTCAGAGACTGAAACCACGTCCACGTCGGATGATACAGTCGGGGAGGATGAAGGAGCACGAGCTCTTAATCTTAACCCTGATGCATCAGGTAGCTCAGTACTAGATTCTTGTAGAACTTTAGTTTCTTCCTCCAGCTTAGACCGGACGTCGTCTCCAGACTTCTGCCCTATCAAATTAATTTGCCGCTCAAGGTCTTGTCTGATTGCCAGTGACTTTGCCAGAGCTCCAGGGGCGAAACTTTCAAGGACTTTGAGATCCTGAATCAGCGAATGTTGGTAGGGGTCAGAAGCATCGTTTTGTGACTCTAAAGCTTGCTGAAGTCTATGAAAGCTGAACGATGGCCCATATGTCTCAGATTGATCGTCCCTATGTCCCAGTTCAGTCTGCAGAGTTTGTGCGGGTGTTTTAAGATCTATCCGAGGATTGAAAGGTTGCTGGCGAGTCGTGTTCAAACCTGCATATGCCTCTTGAGTCTTGAGAGGCTGACCAGATTGCTGTGATTGTTGAGTATAGGTACCAGGACTGCCGACTTGTCGGCTTGGGGACGGAACCGGAATACACGGCGATTGGCTAATGGGATCGTAAACACTGCCGCCCTCTGATGTAGGCCCAGGCATAGCATTAACAGGGATAAAGGCTGCGGAATGTGATGTCTCGGCGGATATGCAGTCTTCTTTCTTTCTTTCGCAATTATTACATTTACCACCAATGGCATCTGGCCGACCACTACACCTGATCTGTGATTTATTAGCAGCTTGAACCTGGCCAGTCTCGTCAGGTAAAACGAACCCTTCGCCTCCGGCAATATCTGCAGGCTCTGCAGGCGATCGAGACTCTCTGTCGGGGGCCAGGTTTATAGACTCTCAGTCGCGGGGCAGGATTATTCCTTAGGTGGGACTCGTAAACTGGGTAGGGAGGGGCCGGAGGAGGTCCATAGGCTGCAGAAGGCGCGGGAGGCGCAGGTAGGGAAGGTGGATAGTCCAGAAGTTGCGCTTTTGGCGGATGTGAGGTTTGGTAGTTCGTTATACTACACGGGATATATGCAGAACTGTTATCGGGTGTAACCTGGTAGTAATCCGAAACATAAGACGGGGTATACGTAATTTCCTGAGTTGATGGCCTGCGGCTTTTTCTAAGCACATCATCGACATGGTCAATAATTTTGTAGTTATCAAGTTGGCGTTGAGGTAGAGATCGGAGAGTGATAAAGGTATTCTGGGCTGCAGAAGGCGCGGGAGGCGCAGGTAGGGGAGGTGGATAGCCCAGAAGTTGCGCTTTTGGCGGAGATGAGGTTTGGTAGTTCGTTATACTATACGGGACATATGCAGAACTGTTATCGGGTGTAACCTGGTAGTTATTTGTAACATAAGACTGGATATACGCAGGTCTTTCATCAGGAAGGTTGAGCCAGGTTGAGAAGTTGTTGGAAGAATACTGAGGCTGTTCCGATGTGCCTGACTCTGCCTTCGAAAGCCGCTCCACGGATGGAGATCTGTGCATATTGAAGGTGATTCGTGGCTGTAAGTTCTAGACAGTAGACGTCTTTATAGTGCGCAATATAACATTTCGTCGTTTAATCAGATCAGTTGCGGCGATTTACGCTAATATTTCGCTGTGCGGATGGTGAGGTTCTCTTCAATTGATGGCTGAACTCTGGCGATATCATCCAAGTAGATACACAGGTGTGAGATGACACCAATTGCACCTGTTATCATTCTGAGATGAAAACTTGGATGAAATAAAATCATTTGTGGAGAGCGAGATAATGCGAGGTGCGTGCTGACCGCACATATGTGTTTATGAATCTGGTTGGCTACTTATCTACCAATCACCATTTCCAAATAACCAAATCACCGCTGATTGATGACCTTGTCAATCTCTTTCACCGCCGCAAAAAGATCATTATCATAATATTTCCTCGCAACCACCTGCAAGTTGATAGGCGCTCCCTCAAAATCACCCTCCGCCCAGAATTGTCTGACCTGTTCCTCTTCCTTACTCAAAGGAACACTGTCCGGCGGATAGCTCTCAGTTCCTTTCGCGCCAGCCTTGACGGGCGTCGGGATCACAATGCCGGGGTAGTCAACGTAGTTCCAGAGCGCCGTGTAATTCCAGTAGAGCGCCGTTTCGTGAGAACATGCCGGGCCAACAAATACAGGGCAAATTACAAAGTCCACATCTTGTGACTCCCAGTGCTCTGCGAAACGACATCTGAAATCATCGCGTTCTACGCGAAGCTTGAGAACGCCGTTGGCATCGAGCCCAGGACCCTCAGCGTCTTGAATGATCCATTTAGTCAAGGCATTCATAGGTTCATTCGTGGCTGAGAGGTATGCTTTGACTGTCTTGCCGCCGTCTGGCCAGTATGCACGGCGAATACCCTTCATGGCTTCTTCCATCCCGTAGGGTCGGAAGGGCTTGACATCGAACCCTTTAGATCGTAGCTCTCGGGCTGCCCACTCAAGAGCCCTTGTTACTGGAGGCTGGGGAGTGATGAGCCCGTCATTGATCATGAGTCCAATCTTCAACGGCTTGTTTTCCGTCAACCTTCCCGTCCAATGAAGAGGGACAAGTCGAGGGTCTTTCAGCCAAGGACGAGAACCGGAGACGACCGACATGAGGAGATCAACATCCCGAAGCGAGGTACACATCGGCCCTGCTGAACACAAGACGTTCAATTCAGCGGCGAAACCACCCGGTAAGAAGTCTTTCTGGGGGAACACGTAGGACGTCGTCTTGAGACCATAGATACCGCAGAACCCCGCTGGTCCACGAACACTTCCTCCGATGTCTGTACCAATGCCCAAGACTGAACCACGAAGAGCGATAAGAGCGGCTTCGCCACCAGTAGACCCTCCAGCCGATAGATTGATATTATGAGGATTCAGGGTTCTCCCCCAAGGCGATGTTGTCTCAAGATGCATAATGGACTGCGGTTGATTTGTCTTGCAGAATAGGACAGCACCCGCATCCCTAAGAATCTTGACCATCTGACAATCTTCTCTGTCAAGTTTTCGAGTCGCCAAGTATCCCACATTTGACCAGTGGTTGCTGGCCGGCATGTGTTCCTTGATGCTGACTGGCACGCCATGCAAAGGACCACAGGTCATTCCAGTGTTGTCTTGATATTGATCAAGAAGCTGGGCAGTAAGTACAGCCTTTTCGAACCACCATTGTGTCAAGCAGCATGTAAGCTGATGAGCGATGATAGCTCTTTTCGCAAAGGCAGTGACGACAGCGACGGATGTAAATTTTCGTGATGCGATTGCAGCTGCGAGTGCTGTAGCGTCGTAGTTCTCTGTGATGTCGATTTCTTGATCGGTCAAGATACCACAGGTTTTGGGGATGCCGGTTACGTTCTTTGGGGGATTGCCGATGAGGCTTTTTGGAAGGCGGAGCTCGTCTGGGACGGTGCTGCCGAACTCCTCGAGGATGGATGTCCGAAGAGCTTCATACTCTGGCGGACCTGTTTGGAGAGGGACTGGCTGAATGACGGGGACGATTTTGGATGACATGATAGCGAAGACCTTCGGATCAGATGATAGATAAGGATTAGAGTGCAAGATGAGGTGTCATGAGAAGCTGGATTTATATACGTAATCGCGGACTTTTCATCATGCCGACTTGAGGGGTAGAAGCTGGCAATACCAACACAAGCAATCAAGTCCCCCATTTAATTCTGCCGCTCTGACGTCTTCACTGCTTCACGAACCATGATAAGGATCCCTGCCAATCGAATTCACCTTGGAATGGTGCCTAGCCGCACGGCAGCCAATTAGGTGTATTACCGCGTACCACCATAAAGTTCCCCGCATGGTTGTTCATGATCGCGGTCTCATAGACTTTCCCATTTCGTCAAGTCCTACCGCTAGCGATATGAGCTAAAGTTCCTCCTATCAGCTAAGTAGCGGTAGTTGATAGTGCGAGATAATCTCTCTGTGCCCGCGTCAGCGAGTTTATCATGCTTACCCCGCGTTTCGCTTGTAGATGCCAAGGGACTACGACTAGAGATACCTAAATGGTCGAGATCTAGTCCAGAAGTGACAAGGCGTCTGTAGATGGCTTGTTATCGGGCATGGAACTGCCGCGTGAGGGATCGTCGCTGGAAGCGCTCCTTACGTCCGAAGAGTGATATCTCATGGTGGAGTGGATCATGATAGATAGATTAAGCGACATGCCTATCATATCGCATGCATATATACCCACGCTCTGGTACCAATTCCCAATGGAGAACAACATCTCTCTTCACTCTTTGTAACTTCTCCACAACAACATCACTTACACCATGGCTCAGGCCTATTCTGAAGTTGTCCCCGGCACAGTCCATCTGGTCGATGCTGGTCGCAGTGATGGCAATGATATTGAACTTGTCCCTCGTCCCAGCGACGATCCAGAGGATCCCCTCAATTGGAGCAGACGACGCAAGCTCATCTCAGCAGCCATGGTGTTCGTCTACACCCTAGGCGTTGGTCTTCCCTCTACTCTCCAGTACTCTGTTCTTGTTGAGATCTCCCAAGACACCGGTATCTCCATTGCCGACTTGGTTCAAGGCACCGGTGTCATGTTCCTCTTTCTCGGCTGGAGCTGTCTGTTCTGGCAGCCTATTGCCCTGACATATGGAAGACGCGGTGTTTATCTCATCTCCACTGTCGCTGCTGTGCCCTTGATGGTCTGGACTGCGTATTCGCGTTCTGCTGGGGAGTGGTACGCTCACCGTATCCTTCTCGGCTTCTTCGTTTCGCCTATCGAGTCGCTGCCCGAAGTCAGTATTCCCGATATTTTCTTTGCGCACGAGAGAGGAACTTGGATGAGTTTGTATGTCTTCGCCTTGTTCGGCTCCAATTTCTTAGCACCAGTGGTTGCTGGCTTCTTCGCCGATGCGTACGGTTGGCGATGGACCATGCATTTCGGTGCCATTTTCGCTGCATTCAGCTTTGTCATCCTGTTCTTTTTCATGGAAGAGACCATCTATTTCCGTCCAACTTTTGAAGGTCTCGAAGATCAGGATGAGCCAGTGAAGGGTCAAGCGGATAATGATGTTGCTTCCGCACAGAATGTCCCCGAAAGGCCGATGAAGGAGGGTGCTGGCGCTATCATCAATAGTGATCAGCTGCAGGGCACCGTGCACACAAAGAAGAGTCTCGCCACTCATCTCAAGCTCTTTGCCCGAAAGGATGGTCGTCCAACCAAAGCAAACATGTTCAAGTCCATGTTGTCTCCACTTCCGCTCATGGTCCTCTTCCCCAATGTCGCCTGGGCAGGGTTCATCTACGGCATTAATCTCTGCTGGTACAATGTCTTGAACGCCACCACTAGCCCTATCCTCAGTGCATCACCCTACAACTGGTCTACCAGCATGGTCGGTCTGATCTATGTCGGCCCTATCATCGGCGCTATTCTTGGATGTCTCTGGTCTGGTGTCATTGCCGATCGCACTACGCTGTCACTTGCTCGCAGAAACAATGGTGTCCGAGAGCCTGAACAGCGACTTTGGCCTCTGGCTTTATCTGCCTTCTTATCGTGTGTTGGCCTTATCGTTTGGGGCGTCGGCGCTGATAACGACATCCACTGGGCTGGATTGGCTGTTGGACTGATGGTTCTCACTTTCAGCTGTGTCACCGGTGGATCAATCGCTTTGTCTTACAACGTCGATTGCTTCAAGGACATCAGTGGCGACACCACCACTTCCATCATCATCATCAGAAATACACTGGGTTTCGCTATCTCCTATGGTATCACGCCTTGGTATGTCAACATGGGTCTGCAGAATTGTTTCATTATGGCGGGATTCCTATCTCTTGGATGTACTAGTACTTTTCTGTTTATGATCTGGAAGGGCAAGAGTCTGCGACGTCATGCTGCGCCGAGATACTGGGACCAGGTTCAGAAGATGTTGCAGCACTAGGATCAGTATCACTGGGATAGCCGAAGCTATTCTCTTCTATCGCTAGCTAGCAATATTTAACTACCACGTACTAATAAATTAACTTGTCCTTGTCAATTCTCAAGAGTCCTACTGTGTTCTCCAAGCCTGCCTCTCGATCATCAGCTCCACTAGCCTTCTCAGTTTCCAAAATGCTCTGGCGGCTCCTCAAAAGCTCAGTTGCAACATCGCGCCACTGCACCTCAGTCTTCTCGTGTTTCATATCAGGCATCAGCTTCAAATCCAGTTTAGTATCTCTCAGCCGTCCGTCTCGCTTTCTGAATTGGCCGTCAACAATAACAGCATCGATGTCAGAAGGAGCCGAGTGCAGAATGATAGCACCGATCGGATTTTCCTCAGCGGCACAAATCATCGTAGGGCTCAACGTATCCCAGATTACAAGATCAGCAATTTTTCCCTCTTCCAAAGATCCAATTTGATCGCCCATCTTGATCGCCCTTGCGCCGCCAATTGTCCCAAGCTGGAATGCATCTTGGGCAGAGACCTGAGCTCTGGCAGGGATCTTTCCTGCTTCGAGAATCCGATCATTGCGGCGAGCACGCTCAGCTTGGAGGCCAACCTTCATCTGAGCGACGATGCTACCTGTGTTGTTGCTGTGACAGTCGATGCCGAGGGAGCTAATAGACTTGGCGTTTTCCTGAAAGCACACAGGCCAGCCGTGACCCATCTGCAGCTCAGTGTCTGGAGTCGAAGAGATTGCAGCTCCGACTCTCAGAAGCTTTTGTGCGTCCGAGTCGTTCAATGGAGTCGCGTGTGAAAGAAGAATGTCCTTCTCGAGAAGCCCATAACTTTCAAGTAAATCTAGCGTTGAGCCCGCTACAGTTCATTTCATAAGCAACTAGACATACCAATAGATACATGCGAACTTACGAAGAAGACTTGGGACGTAGTGAGAAGTGATGGTTTTGATACCCAAGCTGCGAACTTGGTTGAAGATGTTGACAACTACATCCTGTGGAAGGTAGAAGGAGTCGAACGCGAAGCCCATCGTCACCCGGCCGTTGGCGTATGGGCCTGCCTTACACAGTGAGATCAACTGCTCGAAGAGCCAAGCTGGAAGCAACTCTTCTTCCATTGCAAGGGGCTTCCAGGTCTTGACCCTACCAATTGGACAGTAGCAGTAGATAGACCTGATACCAGATGAGATGGTTGCTGAAAGAGCCGCATTGTCTTGAGATCACGATTAGTTACAGGTGTTTGGCTTAGATACGAATGACGGGGTACTCACTGTGCTCTGGAGAGTATGAGATATGGGCGTGATCTACAATTGTAGTCGTTCCTGCCTCAAGGGCTTCGAGGCATCCGCCAAGCTGACCCCAGAACACGTCTTCGGGTTTATAGCTGTGCGAAGCCATGTTTCCTGTGCCAGGAGGTGTTAGCAACTCGTGATTTGAGCCATTCAAATATCACTAACCTGGTACCATGTACTCCAGCAGCGAATGATCGGCATGTCGTCCTTTGAGCTGAGTCTGCCAAACATGATGGTGAGTATCGACAAATCCTGGTGAAATTATCTTTGCCGTGCAATCAATGATCTCAGTTGACTCAGATGGAGGATCAATGCGAGGCGCGATGCGAGCAATTTTATTACCCTCGATCAACAACGAATGGTTCTTGAGCGGAATGACATGATCATATCCAGGGCCCTTTGGAACAAGGAGAGTAGCGTTTCGAAGCAGAACAGAGTGGTCGGAAGACATGTTTGAAGCTGGCAGATAGCCAAACAAAAGCTAAAGAAAAGAAGAGCTTATTTTTAAAGAGTTCATATGGGAAGTGCGGTAAACTGTAACTCAGATGCCGTGGATGCCGAGAACAAAGAATGAAGCCACAACCGCATTCCTGGATGAGGAATCATGACTGCCATGTGGATAGCTCCATTCGGTGTTTGCCAATAATCAAGCAGTCTGATTCGCTCCCTGCGCTTGGCATAACCAACCCCGGAACACCACCAACAAAGACATCGATCTAGCCTCGAGATGACGATATCACGTCAGCCATCGTTTCAAACTCCCTTTCCCACGGGCTGGTGTGTCGCACTGCATGTGTCATCCTAGAGCAAAGTTGAGTCAATGTGACCCTTTGTGGAAAGTCCAAGATCGGAATTGAGACAAGAATAAAGTGATACCTTGCACGTCCTAACTACCTACCCCCGTGGATTTGACCTAAATTAGTAATGGAAGTCCCACTCGGAGATGGGGCTTCTGCTAGGTCAGATCCACGGGTACGTCATATTCGGCAATAGAGCTACTCCGAAGTCCAGACTGTTTCCTTTGTCTAGGGGTATGTGACTCACGGTTTCTCGTAGACCCGGTGCTTCGGGTTTGCTTTGAAATGCCGGAGGGTTCAGAACCACGTTTATGGAGCTTCCCTATAAATCAGCTATCCTGGGCCTTTGCACCAGCTAGCATTCCGCTATTCTATTATTTTGCACTTGATGCGAGTTATGACTTGCACATTGGCGACTCCATTGTATTATCAACCCGAATTAAATATATACATCGTGAAGGTAGCCATAGACCTTGTTCTAGCAGCCAATTGTAATACAGGTGTATTATTCCAAGGATGGACACCAGTAGCTAATTCAATCTATGCCGCTTGTAAAACTGAGGAAGCGTTCATGACTTTTCAGAGTTTTTCATGCCCCCCTCCCAAGAATTGAGTGAAAGCAATATTGTTTGCTACGCGAGAAATGCCATCAGCCTCCCTTTTCGGGATTGAATGTTCGCATCTGATTGAGCGTCATCATCATAGTGCTCAATAAGCGTCTGACTCAGCATCCAACAGGGGGCTTGGTGTAGGGGTATCACGTTCGCTTTGCATTGTTTCGAATGCTTGCGAAAGGCCGGGGGTTCAAATCCCTCAGCCTCCATTTTTTGCACTTTGTATCTGCAGTAAAGGATAAATAGCGTCTGCTTCTTCTACTTGCAATCAATTGGCACTGCTCTTTTTCCATATTGGCGGCAATTGGTGTTGGCTGATTCGACCGTTGATTGGCTGTGTCTCGTTGGGTTGTTCGAGGGCTCGCCGCCATAACGCACTCCTTGAATGGAACGACACCGAAATGCATGATAAAATGTCACGAATAACAACAAAAAGAACATAAACTGCAAAAGTAAACTCCGATGGAGGGAGTCGAACCCTCCTCGCCGCGGTAGATATTTCGTAATGAAAACGCGGAATGATAACCGATACACCACACCGGATGTTTAGATGTTCGTCAGCAAATTTGTTCCACTCCATATTAGCACGCCGGGCCTCGTTTAGGGCTACTAGGCTATCTGAGTAGCGCGTATCGCTCCTAGATATATAGTTTGTCCTTTCATACACGCAGATATCTATTTTCTTATTTGTTTCATATCAGGCTCCTTAAGGTTGGACGTCGTGAATCATGACCCTGTGTGAGTGATTGTTCCGTCACTAACTTGGTCAATCATGGGACAATCTAGACTCGAAACCTTCAGACAAGTCAGTGCTTAATTATGCTGTACAACATATTACGCCGTATTTATCATTAATTATTATAGTCATGTAAGTATCCTAGGTACTACTCTGTAGTCAGTTCGTTGGGCCAAATCGCTGACTTCAAATATCAAGCTCCAGGGTATGGTCATAAGAACCGCCAAGGATTGCTACTAGCGTTATGGGTCACAATTGCTGATCGTCAGCTCCAGCACAAAAGGTCATTCAGAGAGATCACGGTTAGTTCAGTTGAGTAAGCCCTATCGAAACCGGGTAAATAGCGAATTCTTCGAACCTCGGGATAATGCAGAAGAACGGATCAGGGGTCCAACGCCAACCATCGCCACTCCCAAAGCTGCATCTATGATCCCTGTTCTGTAAGGCTGAAATTTCAACATCGGGACCGAAAAACACAGACGCACGCTTCGGGACCGAGAAGATGTCTTTCCAATTGTTCTTTCGAACTGGGGACTAAAAACACGAGGATCGGCCCGGGGCACTAGCCAGCACCTCCAGATGTTTCGTATGCCATGACTGGTTGGAGAACGATAGCGGATTAATGGGGAAGAGTTGAAACGACTCCGTTTCCACTGTAATCTAACGTGCATTCGAAAGTCCTAAAGTCTCGGTCCCGAGATAAATGACCAGTGGCGCGAAGATGAGAAAGATCACCGACACCGGCAAGTAAACAACATATCTCTGAGGAACCTTGCAACATGGCCAAGAGTCTATCAATTTGGCGCAACATGTTCTCCCTTCTGAACTATCTCTTACCTTTCTGACCTTCACTTCGCTCGCAATGAACGGATCATCGCTTGTTCTGTCCAGCACTCTTCTGAGTTGCGCCAACGCTCTTCAACTCCATAAACGCCACAATCCATCGATGGTCTCGGTAAACTTTGAGAAGTGAACGAAAGATGTCTTCCCCGGCCACGAGAAGAGAGGCAACGATGACATTGCCGAGATGAAGGTGGACCAGCAAGGCGTCCTCTACTGGGCCGACTTTACCATTGGAAACCCTGCCCAAGGACTCTCCGCTGAAATCGACACTGGGAGCTCCGACTTGATCGTCCTCACTAATCAGATTGAGACTTGTGAGAAAAAAAGACTGCAATGGTGGTGTCTTCAACCCAGAAAAGTCACACACTTTTGAGTGGGGGTGAAGAACAGGTGTCTGGGAGGGTATATATGCTAACGACACGTTCACGCTTAGGTCTTCTACGCTGAAATCTTTCCAGTTTGTCGGTGTATCTGAATACAACGCTGCAACCAATGGCATAACTAGTACCTTCGGCGTTGGTCTCTACACCCGAGAACACGCTGAGATAAGGTATCCCAATCTGCCTTACGCTCTGGCTGAGGCAGGAGAAATCAACACTCCGGCCTTTAGCTTGTGGCTCGACAACAAGACGCATGGGGAGTTCCTGTTTGGTGGCGTCAACAAAGCCAAGTACATAGGCCCCCTGGTCAGCTATCCCGTTGTGGTCGACAACCAAATTGGCCTGTGAGACAGAGCCCTGGTGGTCATGACAGGCTTCGGGACAACTTCTTATGGAAAGACTTCAGATCTTGACTTTGAACCGCGGCCAGTACTCCTCGACTCGGGCACAGTGCAGAGTAGATTGACCCTCAACATGACCTTGCATCTGATCAGGACCATGAAGATCTCCATCGATGAGAAGTTGGATGCTGTAGCGCCTTGCGAAACAAGCTCCAAGGAAACCATAGATTTCACGTTTGGCGACTTGACTATCAAAATGCCATTCGCAAACTTTCTCGGTTCCACCAACGTAAAAGCCGGTGTTGACGGTGTTGCATATTGTCAAGTCGTCTATTATGACGACACCACCAACATTATGCTTGGTGACGATTTCCTCCGAGGTGCCTATGTTGTTTATGGCTGGGCGAATATCGAAACTTCCCTCGCTCAGTATAATTCTGAAGAGGCCGAAGACGACATAATTGAGATTATACGAGATGTGCCTGGTGCTTCTGCCGCCACTGGCGTCCCTAGAAGGTATCTGAAGTACGATCAGCCTGCAGAGTCTGCGGGTACTGCAATCCCGACAGAGCTACCGACAGTTACTGTAACCACTCTTAGCACAGCGACTGGGTCGGTTACAAGTTCGGCGGCACCTTCATCTACTGCGGCAGAGACTGGAGATGTTGAAGACAGTAGAGCGGCGGGTAGCCTGCCGGCAAACTTGATGTACATGATGCTGATTGCATTTGTCTTCAACGTTGTAATCCACGCATAGGACAATGGCTAAGAATTTAATTATTCTGATGAAATTGAATAGACTTTGTTGACCATTTCTTAATCTTATCTTCATTATGAATCTCGCCGAACAATGCCATCCATCGAGAGGTCACATAACCACTTGCAGCTTCAATCATCGTTGGAATTATTGCATACAACAGATTGAATTATATAGACCACTCTAGATTCTCAACTTCGTCGCCAATGCCGACAAAGTTAAAAGAAAACATGGTACAGGGCTTGCCGACAGGGCAGCGCCATAACCAAACCACTGGGTTCATCAAGAGCCCGCTAATCCAGTAACTTCGTCCCACTAACCGCCGCCACCCGCAACTCTCACATTCCTTCTGCATAAGGCAGATAAATCGCATCGGGACCGAACACCTTAGACGCACTAACATCGGGACCGAGCGAATGGCATGAAGATTAAGTTTCATAGCTGGAACGGTAGCGATCGGCCCGACAGGCAAAAAGATTGATCACGCTGGGGATCGAACCCAGAATCTTCTGATTCGTAGTCAGACGCCTTGCCATTGGGCCACGCGACCGTTGCCGTTTGATGAATGAAGCCACTCCTAGCTGGGCTTCATCATTGCCAGCCTAGACGTCCAGGAAGTCCTACTTGCCCAACCAGGAAACATTCAGAGAGGAATTATGATCTGAACCTAGGATGTCTCGGTACAACTCAGGCCTTCTGGCCTGTCTGTATCGGAATCCTCCTGCCAATTGAAGCTTGTCTTTGCTGCAAGTCGCAACAGCCATATCCTCTCCAAGCAGATAGCACTCGCTTAGGATATCTCCAAAAGGGTCAAGAATCATGGAACACCCATTCTTCAACTGATCATCATCCATGCCAATAGGATTTGAGAAGACGACGTAGACTGCATTGTCATAGGCTCTTGCTGGTAGCCATTTCATCAGCCATTGCCTGCCTTTCAGACCGCTGAACTCGGCCCGCAGAGAAGTTGGATCTTGATCTCGATTAGTCCAAAGCGATGGATCAACGAAGCCAGCGCCTGGGCGAGTTGACGGAGTGCACATTGTTACATGCGGCATGAATATGATCTCTGCACCGAGAAGAGCTGTTGCCCGAACGTTTTCGACAACGTTGTTATCGTAGCATATCAGAATACCGCACTTCCAACCGAGAAGGTCGAATACCACATATTCGTTGCCTGGACTTAGATGTGGACTGATGAAAGGGTGCAGTTTGCGAAACTTGGCGACGAAACCTCGGTTGCTGTCGATGCAGATGTAGGTATTGTAAATATGGCCATTCTCATCTTTCTCAAACAGCCCAGCCAGAATAGTAATGGCTAGCTCACGGGCTATCTTAACTAAAGAACGAGTGCTTGGGCCGGTTGGGACCTCCTCCGCAAGATCAAGGAGCTCTTCTTTGGAGAGGCGGCTAGCGAAGGTATAGCCGGTAACCGAGCATTCATGAAATGCAACGACATTGCATCCGCAATTTGCCGCATCGCTTGCCATTCGGTGGATGATGGTTAGGTTTTTATCCTTGCTTCCGGACCAGTTCTCGAACTGAACCGAAGCGATCTTAAGTTGGGACATAATTGATGGTCTCGGTGGATTTTATTTAGCAGGGGTTGGTAAGCCGACTTTTCCGACCTGGACGTACAATCACGGATTACAGAAGTTATAATTATATAGCACGGATTGCCTTGCATTGGAAGACTTCCCGTAGTAATGGCCGTAAGAACGTTGTTACGTTACCTGAGGTCACTCGAAGCGACTATCCCATTGCTAATCATCTGTACATGAAGTCTGTGCAGCAACGTTACACTTATTTGTGGTACTGGTCGGTAAAGTGATGTTTATGCAAGCCCAGTGGACACTTTAAGCAGCTATCGTATAAGCAGTCCCAATCAAGCTGAGGCGCGCCCTACGGGTGAGTCATCAGGCCGCGGGATTCAAATCGCCCAAGACTCGAAATCTGCTGTTAGATAGTTGAGTAGTAGTAGGCTCTGTCTCAAAAGAAGGAATCTGTTTAGAATGACAGGTTCTTTAACCCATATTATATCCGTGAACTCATATCAACTCTGGCTATGAAACTTGGCAAAGGCAGATATGGACAGCTTGAAGTGACGCGGGATAACAGTTAACCCGATTAGCTTGTTGCTTATCCGCATACACGAGATTCCTTTCACAGTCAGACAGAGAACCGACAGCATATTCTGATTGGTAGAGAAAGGGCGTCCTCTTACACGTCGTCGTAGCCTCGTTCGCTCCGGTAAGGGTCTTGGCCGACAACCGTCGGTACACCTGATCGCAGATCATTCGGCATGTTTATTTTTAGAGCATTGAAAACGCCCGCGGCAACTGCAGAAAATTACTGGAAGTGAATTCTTTAAGCCCTGTGAGGTTGATCGAAGCTGGCCAAAAGTATAAGATCGTATCATTCAGATAGCTTGGCGCCCAAGAAACAAGATAATTCGCCTTTGAAGATCCAGCGATAAGCCTCGTTACTTGTACCTTGCAGAACGGCAGAGGTGGCTGAAAGGGCAAGGGGGTTTCAAGAACAGAATGTTTCCGCTCCTGGTTTATGTGGCTGCTTGATTGACGTATTCAAGGTAGTTATGTGACACGGACTCTATTTCACTGGTAGCGTGTCAAGTGTCATGGCCGCATCCATAACGATCTGATGTCGTATATGCGTGCAGATATCTGGTCCCTTACTTGCCTGTAGATGGATAACTACTGAATAATCATCCGGTTACAGTTCAACATCATTGAATCTATGTTACAGGTGATTTTCTTTATCAGTCCGTGACTTTACAGCCCTGTATGCGGCGATAGACTTCCATCGTTGACCCCGCGCATCTGGAATGCTATACAAACCATCTGGGTCCAGATCCGGCAGCCACGACGGCCCCGATCAAGCTAACATCCCTGAAAACAAATCGCACTGTGCTACAGATCGATATTTGCGTGCTCAAACAACCATCATTGTCTCACAGATCGAAGCCATATTCGTTACACACGTGCCACGATACCTGGAACTTGCCGTGTACAATCCCTAAAAGAGCCAATTCGATGCAAAAAAGGGCGTTAGTTTTCGGGATGTCTGCGCCACAAGGGCAGATATGTAATCTCCCCCTTGCATAAGAATGATGATCGCGCTCCAAGGAACGAATTTGTGTTTTGTTTTGTTTGGACAACGTTTCGTTGCCAAATGCTACGATGCTCGTACGTCGAGTATTATACGCGTTTGCATTATGCTTGATACCTGCTGGAGGTTTAGCCCAAACTCATGAGCTTGACAGACGCGCCGTCGATCCTTTAGCCGGAACATCCGAGTGTGCGGTCAGTATCATTGACTTGATTGAACCAATCTGAAGCTGACGATTGTAGAGGACATGTTTCACGAAGACGAACGACACAGAAGCTTTTCAAGGCAGCCAAACGGACGACCTATGCCAATATAAGCCAATTTATCATAGTGTAGAAGTATGCGTCAAACACGACTGCAATTTCACCGAGATCTTGGGTAGGCTTCGTCAAATTGCGTGTGGTGGCCTCAATATCAATGGCTAACGCAATAGCTAGACTTCAAGAACAGAACATCCCGCGCATGCGACTGGCCGATCACCGACCGTCGTCAAGAAATTCGAATCAGCTGTTTGACAATAGGCATTTTGGCTATGGTCTTCTTTACCATGAGAGCCATCTCAAAGATAATTGGATTCGTGCCATATGGGCATGACGATAGTCTGATATCAGCAACTCTGGTATGTGATGCAATCAAACTTTTGTGGCCGTGCCCCTGACGATTAAATAGCCATTTATTATCGCATTTAATATTTTCTGCCAAGTCCGTGGGTGTTACCCTTCTCATCACATCCTGATATAATGCTGACGCAAGTTGTGCGACGTTAGTCACCTCGAAGGGTCTCGGACTCGATATTTGGTTCGTGGAAGAAGATGATATTCGCACCTTTCTCATCGTAGGAGATCATGACACCATGGTGTAATTACAAGTCTAACAAATCTAGCTGATTTTCGCTTCCGAACTATCGTACGCTACAGCTCTCGCCCTCTTGAAACTATCGATCCTAGCCTTCTTCCTTCGCATATTCCCTGATCAGAAATTCCGCACCATTGTTCGATGGACTACGATCTTTATTCTCGTCATGTGTCCCCTATATCTAGCACTCATCCTCGCTCAACGAAGGCCACTCGATCTGTTTTGGAATGGGTGGAAGAATAAGAATCCGCAAGGTGTTATCTTGAGTGGAAATCTCATAGGCATAACACATGGTGCATGGAACGTTGCTTTGGATATTTGGATGATGATTCTTCCAATGACGCAACTGCTGAAAATCGGGATCAAGCTGAAGAAAAAGATTGGGGTAATTGCCATGTTCGGAGTGGGCCTCTTGTAAGTTGTCTAAAGTGTCTGTACAATGTTAGTCATGCTCATCGTTATAATGTAGCCTTACAATTGTCAGTTCCGTTCGGATCCCAAGCCTTATAGTATTTTCAACTTCACGGAACATAACCGGTACAAATCACTCGAGTCTCTATGCTAACTTCTGCTGACTGTCCACGCAGCCGACTCCGTCGGAATAATAATCTGGTCAAACATCGAGATTTGCGTAGGCATGATGGTGGCATGCATGCCTGGAGCCCGTCAATTCGTCCGAGACACTATACTGATAGTGAAACGAGGAAACGAGTCCGATGGGTCTAGCGCTGAGAACATATTCATTGAGCGGACAATAGAGACGATCCAAACTGATGCGGACGAGACAGTTATGAGTTCTATAGTGAGACCAGAGGAAGTGCTATTGTCAAAATGACAACGAATTGTTGGCTGCCGTCACCAAGATGGAGGCCATGATGATGATTAATGAAAAAAAAAAAACTATTATACCGGTCTTGATGCATCCACAATTAATTTCTACCACCCTATTTCAATTGCTCATTACAGACTTGGACGAACGGTGCTTATGATTGTTCGCGGTGGTTGACAACAACCGAAGCGTTTCCCTTCTCCTTACCTCCCATCTCCTCAACATCTCCAGTCAGATCCTCAGGCTTGTAGTTTCCAAACTTGCGGAGAGCAATACCCTCATTGAACATACGATCGATCTGCTCCAGAGATTTGCCCTTGCACTCAGGAACACAAAAGACAACAAAGACAATAGCCAATGCCAGAATACCAGCGAAAACAAATCCAACCTTTGAGCCCAGACCGGCGTATTGAGGATACAACATGTAGGGAATGCTGAAGCTGACGAGGAAGTTGGCTACGACGTTGACGATGGATGCTGTTCGCTGCGATGCGTCGCGGAGTCGGAGGGCGGGGATTTCAGTGGTGATGACATAGTTTAGAGGAGCGAAGGCGAAGGTAAAGCCGGATCCGAAGAGGGTGAGCATTGCCACGATGCCTGATTTGATACCGAAGGATGGGTTGGGAACTGTGCCGAGAGCGCCCATGGTGATAATGGCGCAGAACATCCAGCCAGCGCTCGTCAATAGGAGAGGTCTGTGAAAGTCAGTGATGATGTTCAGGTATTGAGGGAGAATAATGGCTTACCGGCGGCCAGCTCGGTCAACAAGATATAGACCGGCAAAAGCAGAGCAGAGATTAACGATGGCGTTGACGATGGTCATGGTAAAAGGGTTGACGGTTCCAATGTCTCGGATGAAGATGGCGCCGTAGGTCGAGGCAAAGGCTTGACCAGTAGCTTGTTGAAAGAAGTTCATAGCCACAACAATCGCTGTACGCTTGAGGTTCTTTCCCTGGAAAAGCTCGAGGTAATTGCCCTGCTCAGGTTCGTGCTCGAGGGCGTATTGGAGAGCAGCAAAGCTCTCGTCGATCTCGGCTTCGGTCTCTTTGCCCTCTCGTAGCTTTCCAAGGGCGGCGCGAGCTTCCTCGGTTCGGTCTTTGGTGAGTAGCCATCGGGGAGACTGTAGTTGGTCAGTATGAAGCAATTCGTGCTTAAATCGGTTTATTTACCTCCGGGATGAAGAAGATGGCGCACATGACGACGACGGGGATGATGAAGAAGAGGCCAAAGGGGATCCGGAATGAGAGGTTGCCGGAGAGAGTGCTCGTTCCTCGACAAACACATGCTACAATCAGAGTTCCCGACTATACTGTGTCAGCTTGTCACTATAACACTATTTTAGGAGCACTTACCATCAAGCTGAACTGGTATGAGCCAACTGCAAAACCACGGATCTCCCGGGGCATGATCTCGGATTGGTAAACAGGGACAACAGCAAGCTCCATGCCAATGTAGATATCTGTTGATAAATGTCAGCTATGTACATCCAAATGTAAGCTTATGTAGTACTTACAGTTGAGGATTCTCGTGGCCATGATCTGATGCTTGCTCGTCGACGTAACAGCCATGATAGCTGGAACCAAAGCCCAAGCGCTCATGACGAACATGCACCATCTCCTACCCCAACGCTCACTGACAAGACTGCCGATAATAACACCAGCTCCGAAACCGATATAGTTCAGGCTGTTGAAGAGGGACAGCCATGATGGTGGGATGGCATATTTGCCCTTCTCAGCATCCCATTCCCCGAATTGCGCCTGGAAAGCCTCCATGGCCTGTGTGTTGTTGTAAGCTGCGTTATCAAAGCCATAGTTGAAGGTTGACACAGCGATGACTGCGAAGGCAATCGCCAAATGGCGATTGAAGTGTTGGAGAATTCTGTTCTTGGACAACATCTTGACCAGATAAACTGCGAGTGAGGAGGCTTGGTTGGACTGATTGTGAAGATCATGACCGGGATGATGCTCTGCTGATATACCCAGCCACTCAACCCCAGAGAAATGCTCCCCCGCAAAGCTTTACTATCACTCGTTGACCTGGCGTCAAGGTAACGCCTGTTCGAGACCTGCAGAGTCTGCTAGCCTGGTCACTCTCCTGATTTCCCCAGGTAAAGGTCTGGGGTAAGTGGAGAACCGCAGAGTTAGTGCATTTCCGAGCTCGGATGTCGGGCGGAACCTTCTCTGTGCTTGGAATTTGGGGTAGACCTCAACTTTTCTCTTCCGCCCGACTTCCTTTTCTCATCCTGGCCTGAACTGTTCGGATGAGATTCGCATGGAGCCAAGAAATGGACCCCGTATGCGAAATCGCAAGACATCCGAGATATGTGCGCAATGTCGGAACCGCAAGGTATGCGACAGCCGCGAACAAATGAACATCGGCTAATGAGAATTGACTGCAGGTGAGATGCGATGGCGATCCTACAGGCTGTAACAACTGCAAAAGGCTCAAGTTCAATTGCTCTCTGCTGGTAACAGACTCCGACAACGGAATAGAGGTTCTAGAAAGACGACGCGTATCTAGGGCGTGTATACCATGTCGCGATCGCAAGCTGAAGTGCTCTGGCCGGAGACCGGCATGTTCACGATGTTCGGATCGAGGAAGTCCTTGCCATTACCCTTCAGCCGCGAGGGCTGACAGTCATGACTCTGGCCCGTCGCCTCGTGGTGAACCCTCGATTGCAGCGGGCAGCACCCCGTCAGCCCCAGAATCCGACCGCCATGAATCTCAACACTCACAGGCCCAAAGACCACTAGGCGGTCAACCTTCTTCCGGCTCGATGCCAACACCAGTACAGACCTCACAATGGTAAGCCGTGTCACTACTACTACTCGCGCTTGCGACGCTGATTGGAAACAGGGACCTAGGAATAAGCAAACAAACCGTGAAGCAACACATCGATGCCTACTTCGACCTAATACACCCAATACCTTGTTACGGATTTCTCCATAGAGCAACACTGTTACAGTCATGGTCAAAGAACGAGCTAAACCCATGCGTGCTATCAGCGATATGCGGGATCACATCGCGGTTCATCAACCCAGGCAGTTCTGAACATAGAGCGATAGCAAAGAGATGGATTGAAGACGCAGAGTCACACCTCCTCAGACGAGTTGCCCAGCCTCGGCTATCGGATATTGAATCATGGCTTCTCGTCACGTTGGACCACTACCTCTCGCAGCGCGTCAGCAAGATGCTTGTCTCGATGGCTCTAACATCGAGGCTCGCCTACATCCTTCGACTCAACCACGAAGATCCGCGTCAGAAGTTTCTAGTGCAAGAGCGTCGACGACGACTGATGTGGGCCATCTATATCATGGACTCGTTGTACTCGAGTGGGAAGACGGAGTTCACTGCCTGTACTCCAGAGACTCTCCATATCCGGCTGCCATGTGCCGAAAAGTCGTTTTCCATGGACGCTCCAGTAGTAACAGTGCCGCTGCACTCGAGTCCACATGAGGATATATCCAATATTGGCCTGCTTGGCTACTGTATTCGCGTTTTGGACATTCGCAATCGTGTGCAAAGGTCAGAACCCAGATCTGCTGCTGCATACTCTCGCCTAATCGTGACTTAGACTTACCCTTACGATCACAAATCACCGAGAGCCCATCGACCAATGCCTGCTCGCAGTAGAGTCCATCGAAAACGAATTGCGCCAATTCTCAGCTAGTTTGCCTGTACGATACCATTGGGACCCAGCAGCCTTCTCTCTACGGGCCTTTTCGCCTTCGCGTACCCCATTCCTGATGCTGCATGCTTGGTGGCATCAGACACATTGCGACCTCTTCCGCTTTACAATCCCGGGGTTCCGGGAGGGCCTCCCAACTGATGAGATATTACAGCTGTCACCAGAATACACTTCAGCATGTCGCGAAAAGTGCCTGTACCATGCCATCTCCGTATCCAAGATCCTTGAAGTACCCAAGTCAGTCAGAGGATCGGAGCTGATCAGTGATCCGTCAATTGCGATGTGCGCATTCCATTCTGCGAGGATCATCTCAAGACTTGGACAGTACCCTATGGGCGATATGCCACAGACGGACCTTGTCACCCGACTGACAGCTTGTGCTGAGGCACTGGAAGAACAGGCAGTGATCCTCCCCACAACTGCGATCTTGAAGAAGGGCATTAGCGACTTAGTAAATGATGCACAGCGAGATCGTCATGGACCTTACGCCTGCCCTTCAATCTGGGAAGAGGAAGAGTCAGAGAGCTACAATACAACAGGAGCCTCGAGAGACATCAGTAGCTCCGGGGCCAGAGAAGTCTTTTCCAAGCACAGCGTCACCGAGACGGTTCAAAACCTTCAGTTTCAGCCCGGGGAGCAAGGCGATTCTGAAGACCATGGAGACTCTGCGCAGCCAGCTTCCGAAATGACATTTGGGAATGAACCAGGATCTGCATCAACAGCGAACTTTATGCCTGTGAACATCTCGCCGCTGCCTGAGCCAGTCACTCAGGATCAAGCAGACTTTAGTCTCTACCTCGGCGAGGCTGAGCCTCACTTGGACAACATCTTTAATTTTGGGCTTCATGGTCAGTACGGCTCGGGGCAGCCTGATGTTTTCATGGATTCATTCTGGCCTCTCGCAGATGGGGATTGGACTATGCCAGATGTAGGCAGTATGTAAAAATGTGGTTTTTGCTAAGGTTTTCGAAGAAATTATAAGATGCCTCTTGTCTAACGATGCCCGCTTATACTCAAGCTATGCACCGTTCCAGTACAAGTCCCTCTCCACCTTGAAGCTAACTTCCAAACTGTCACTCGAGCTCCTGAAAGAAGCGGTGTATGTTCCCGCTTCGCAAAGCCAACTATCGGCCGTCTCATCCCAAACCGCGGTGCTGTACTTGTCTAATGCTACGAACGCCGTCGCTTCTTGACCTGGTTCCAAAAATACCTTCTGGAACCCAATGAGCGTTCGCACCGGGCGGTGAAACCTCGACTTCTGGCCCGACTTTGCCGCATCATAAGAGACATACAGCATCACGACTTCGGCACCAGCCATCTTCCCAGTGTTTTTCACCTTAACGCGTACGCCGTCTTCCGCTACTAGGATATTGGATGTTGAGAATGTTGTGTAGCTCAGACCGTGACTAGATACCGTAAGCGGTGGTTTTTGAAGGTCAATGGAGTAAACTTACCCGAATTCGAACGCTGGCTCAATGCCCCGAGCATCAAACCAGCGATGTCCAACGAAAACGTCCTCGGAATAGTATACCCTTCCGTTATCACTTCCAAAACTTAAGAAAGTCGGTCCATCTTGAAGTCTGCTCGGGAATGTGATAGGCAATTTGCCACTGGGATTGACCTTGCCGAAGACCACGTCGGCAACTGCATTGCCCGCCTCATTTCCCCCGTACCAGCTATGCAATATAGTCTTCGCCTTATGTCGCCATGGCATCTCAATCGGATTTCCAGCTTGAGTCACCACTATAGCGTTCGGTTGAGCCTTTA